GGCTTATACTTGTCACAAGATGAAGGAGATGGCGCCCGTAGCAGACAGCTGCAGCCTGGTCCTGAATACCAACGGCCGCGAAACAGCCTCAATCTTGACCAGCCCCAACATCCACAGCGGCAACCATAGCAGCCGGCTGAGCAACTTCTCCATTGATTTCCTTCCCTACCAATCCTACGAAGACAGCTTGCAATACTTTGAGCTGAAGGCTACCGATATATACACCGCCGACCAAAACCTCTTTCAACTAAGCCGTGTTGAACGGAGGAAAGCATGGGCACGATATGACGGCAACTACCAAGGCCTGCCGGTGCCGTTTCAGCTGCCGGAGCCCCACTCGGACCCAAGTCCAGATACTGAACTCAACTACGAGGACCGCACTGGCCGACGGAGAACCAGGCACCACTACAACCACGTCGTCGGCTCCTCCAACGGCTTGCTTCTCTGCTCGCCTTTCCCCGGCTACCCAAACATGTACGCCATATGCAACCCTCACACCAAGCAGTGGTACCCGATTCCGATTCCGCCCCCCGATTTCTCCATCCTCGCCCACATCGGCTTCATACGACGACGACGATCGCTCCTTCATCATCGCCGGGATTTCCCTCAGCATGGCCCCGCGCCGAACCCAGCTCGACCTGGAAGTCATGTCGTCCCAATCCGCCGAGTGGACCGCCAAATCGGCTCCCCTGCCACGCCCGCTGCTCTGCCCCGACCCTGACTACTCATTTTTCGACGACGGCACTGTCAATCTCGCCGTCAATCTACACAAGCGCTGGCTCTGCTGGATGCTCGGGGGAAAGCAGCAGGTGGTGCTCTACGACGCCGTCAACGGTGTGGTGGATTGGGTGATTGAGCCTCCACGGCGCACACTAGACGGGATTTGCGTCAGCCAGGGCCGCTTGTGGGCTGCGAGCCTCTGCCGTTCAACCCTCATCGTCTTCGTGGCTGAAAATCTACCGCCACAATCATCATTTCCTGATATGAATCAGCTGCAACAACCATATTTCAAGCCGATGAACAAGGTTAGTTTGACCGGTCCATGGGACTCGCTGATTCCGTTCATAGCTCAAGATTTCGGCAACCCAAATGATCCATACACCAACAACATGATCCAGGGGCCTCAGCTCGGGGACGTCTTCCTAACTATGAACCCACATGATTCCAATCAGGTCTACCTTACTTTCCACAACCGTTTCCTCGTCCTCTTCCACATAACTCAACGAACCCTCAAGTTGCTTGGAGGACAAGGAATCTTAGGCACGGGATCGCACCTCTTCATATGTGACAACCCCGACTAGCCAACTCCACTCCCCACCCTTCACTTTCCTCCTGCTTCATCTAGATAGAGAGGCCAGCTAGGCAGTTGGCTTCACGATGACTAGTTTAAACATTCAATTCAACAACGTTTCATAACATTGTTTGGTTATTCATTTATTTTGTTTGCAACCAGCCTGCCTGCCTAGTAGTAAATCCTCCAACATGTAGTAGCAGAGTTTTTTTTAGGCTTCTCAGCATTTCAAATTCCTGGTGCTGAGAGCCATAAAATTGGCTACCTACATTTCATAAATAAACCAAGTTATGGTTGCTATATGCTTGACACATTCTGATTTCTGCAAAAGTGGTGAGGCTGCAGCTGCAGAATTGAAGGACCAATGAATCTAGTTACTTTTCTTTTACAAAGTGCTAAGCAGTTAGGAAGTAATCTCGAATGGTTTTTCTTTTCAAGGAAGAGGGAGGGTTTAAGACAGAAGAAGGGCTTTTCATTGCTGATTCAGGGGTTGTTGTCTCAACGCTCTCAATTGGATCATGGTGGAGCCTCTTCTTTTGAGCTTCAGGAGTCCCCATGGGAGGCATTATTGATTCGGAAGTTGGTAAGGTAATGTGGTGGTTCATGGCTTCTTCAGGATCTGAAGAATCTTTTTCTTCACTACCAAGATTCAACTGCCTTTGTTCCCGACTTGGGAGGTTGATTATTCTCCTCCTGATCGAAGTTGGTGATCTAGAGCTTGAACTATAGTTGGTTTCAGCATTCCAAACACGAACCTGTATGTTATACATTTGCAGAAATTTGAATTTGATAAGTTACACAGAACTGATGCCATCTTCTTAGGGAACTTCATTAACAAGAGACTGCAAAGACTAATAATCCACTTACCGTGAAATCATCTGCACAAGTTGCTATCTTGCCTTCTTCAGATTGGCACCTGCATATGTTGATTTTCCGGTTAGTGAAAAGCAAATGTGTGAATTGAAACCATTAAGAAAAGAGCAAAAAAGGATTTAATATGAGATTACCAATCTACTGCTGTTACTTCTCCATCATGACCTTTTAATACTGTAGGATCCATTTGGGGCCTTTCCACCTGTTGTAAAATGCTATACCAGTTACAGAAGAAGAGACAAGAGTAGAGGATATGTTAAGAAGGCTGCTGTGAGTTAGAGCATCGAACCTGCCACACGTAAGCATTTCCATCACTAGACCCACTGAGTATGGAAGAAGCATCAGGACTAATCACTGACTGCAAGAGCATAGAGACCGAACATTTAGAATTTGCAGAGTACTTCAGGCGTAAAGTAATAAGAGATGGAGTGATTTCTGAAATGCGAAGAAGTACCTTTACAAAGAACGATTCTATTTGGCATCCAGTGAATGATTGTACAGGACCCTTTTGAAGCAGCAGCACATTGTACAAGTAAATTCTGGAAGGAACGAAAAATGGTTAGATGTACAGAGTCCTTGATATGAATGTGTAGTATTCCTCCATATGGGGATAAAAATGGAGTACCTATTATCCATGCATGATGCTGTAAGGAACATCCCATTAGAGTCCTGAGATAGACTGGATATACCATGCATTATATTCACCTGAGGCATGAGAAGCAGCAACTCTTAGCAATTTAGACTATGGAAAGCCGATTTCCTTCATATTGTCGGGCAACCATTGAGTATTTACCTTTTCGGTTGATGACTTAGGCTGTGGGGAGACTTGATTAACTTGAGATTTCAGATTCCTAGTATCCCAGAACTTGACAATGCTAACATGTTACACATTAATTGCAAAGGCTTGGTAAGTTTACATTTCATTGACATAACGATATAGAAAATATATCTTGATGTTCTTTGGAACAAAACCTGTCTACAGCACCAGCAGTGGCTATGGACACCTCATCTTTGAGATAAAGTACCGAGGTGATGCTCGTGGAAGCCGTCTGCTCAACAGAAAAGCAGAACACAATGTTAGCAATCAGCTAGAGCAACACTTCAGTACTTTGTCAAGGAACTTCTCATCAACAAACCTTGGTCCGCCTAACCCGTTTTGCTTGTGCTGAAAGATGAGCTCGTTTTGCCATTGCAGTTGAACTGTGGATCACAAGAACAAGTTTAGTATGGATACCAACATGTCCAAAAGCGTGCACCCTTACTGGATTGAGCAAACACAGGTGAAGAATTACCTTATGCAAGTTTCTGTGGACCGTCTGGTGGAAGTATTCTGGCATCTCAAGTCCCACAGAGCAAATGAACCATCTCTTGAACCAGAGACAAGAAGGTCTGAGGGGTATAATCGAAATGAAACCATGTTAGCAACAAGACAATTAGCAGCTATCAACAATCGAAACAAGCTATATAAAGCAAATTACCAGAATTAGTTGGATGCGAACACAGAGATTTAACACTTCCAGTGTGGCCCAGTAACACGCCAATGCATTTCTTCCCTTGTACATCCCACAATTGAATCTGCAGAACAGAGCTTAATCAAATGTTGAAGGTTGAAACTAGAATATCCTACCACCAGCTCTGTTTCACTTCAAATCAATCTTGGATATCCCATTAGCTACATCAGGTATATGTTTCAAACACTCAAATGGGTACTCACGCTTTGATCTCCTGAAGCTGTGAGAATTCTGGCGTCATCCTGAAAACAAATTTCAGAAACAATGTCCATAACCATGGCCCATTTCTCTGAAGCAAGCTTAGTAGAAAAGAAAATTTCCAAGCAAACTGTACCTTAATCCAACGAATATCAAATATGGCGTTCTGATGAGCTACCCACTCCGTGATTCTAGCTTTCCCTGCAACAAGCCAGCAATGTTCATAAATTAGTACAAAAATAGAACAGAAGAAATTTTGTGAGCTGCAAATTGAACCGAAAAACAATCCACCCAAACAGACCTGTATTCTCTCGCCGAGTAGTCGCGGAGGAAAGCTTCCGCCGTGAATCAAACAAGCTCAGGTAGCCTTCCTCATCGGATACCGCAAGAATATGAGCATTTTTAGCCGTCTACACATAGAATCGGAGATTTCTCCAGTTCAACCTTACAACTCTATGAAATGGATAAAATATTATTAATGTCTAAACATAAGTTTCACCTTGCAGAAGGAGATCGCCAGCGGGGGGGTTTCGTCGCCGTTGTGTTCAACTGCAACCTCTCCCATCTCGGTGAATTGCAGCTTCGAGTCTTCGTAGTACGGCCGCTTCCGAACTAAATTGCAGGAAAGGAAGTTGTTAAAAGAGGACCCCTAGATTAACAAAGAGACACAGAGAAAGAGAGAGAAAAGGGGGGAGATTTGTGCCTCGGAATCCATTGAGTTCTCTTGATCTGATGTCCTGGAAGAAGGAACCGGATCTGCACCTGGAGCTGGAGCTTGGAGCCTCCATTAATGGCGGATAGGAAGGAGGGCTTTGGGGAAATGAAGAAGAAGAAGAGGGCGAGAGGAAGGAGGTTGAGGTTTTCTGGAGTTTTATTGAAGAGCCATTGGATTCGAAATGGCTTTTGTGGGAGCTTACTGTTTCCATATATTTTTTTGGTGGGAAGCTGAATATTTTCGATTTGGCGCTACCGCCATAGCTTTTTGAGCAGGGCGGGAAATTTTCGAATTTTCTCTTCTGGCGGACTACCTTTTTATCTCGAAAACATCTAAAATAAAAAGAATAGTGACCAAAATGTTAAAAGCCATTCCTGGGCGAAGAGGGAAATTAAAACCTTTCTAGGGTTAAGTACTTTCAATTTCCCGATTCCGACCAGCGATAGGCTGATAGCTCCCAAATCGTCACTCCCTCTGCTTCCGGCCGTACCAGCCTCCTTCTTCTAACCGCCGGTGGCCCCATTTTTCTCCATGCCAATAGTCAGTTGTTGGCAGTGACGCTTCCTGTGCTCCTCGTTTGGCATCCGCTAGTCGCGGTAGCTGCCTGCCGAGTTCCCTGGTCGGCGGTCGCAGTCGTTGCTCTCTCTCTGCGTTCCTCCCCGACTAGTTAATTACAATTTCGGAAACTGGAGAAAGTAAGTACCTTTCGGATCAAACTGTGAGATGCAATGTGTGGAACTGAAATTCTCAACCTCTCCTAATGCTAGAGCTGATCATTAGGCCTAGACCATTAGGTTTGTTATAATAAGGCTACTGAACTGTGTGGAGTCAGTCCACTGCTAAATATTAGTGAGAGGTTAGTTTAATATTGGAGAAAAGATTTGTTGAAGCTTGTATCCATGCGGTTTATCACTGTTGATTTTGGTGGCTAACTAGTGTTAAACTTGCAACTCTTTGCCAGGGGTTGCTTAGAAGATACTTCTATCTTATTTGTTGAAGCTTAGCTATGAGTAACTAGTAGGTGAAATCTGAAAGGGGAAGCAATAAGCATCTACTAGTGCATCTATTAGGGTTCTCCGTTCAAGGATCAAACATTCAGGCGCCATTCCAATTGGTTACCGCATTCTGGGTTGACCAATGGCGGATTCAATTAGCAGAACAATACGAGATGGGGCTTTAGAAGGAGAGCATGCGCCATCTCTTACCATCAAAGATACAACAGCTTCACCGTATGGATTCGACGTTTTCACTCATGTGCTCTCTCAAGCCTCCTCCCTCATTTTAGCCGGAAAATCACAGTCACGGTAAGTACAACACAGTTCTGATGTTCAGTGCATTTGTTTCCCAGAAATAACTCTCTTTTTTTCTCTCTCCAATTTGTCCTGCCGTTTACAGTTTACTTTAGTCCTCAGCTTCAGTGATTATTTATTCGTTTGAGGTAAGTTTTGCTGCAGAGGATTGGTGGTGGTTGCATATTCGCGGAGTCCCTCGTTCTACCTGGATTTCTTGAAAAGAAGTGGAGTTGATGTTGCTTCTTCTCAGAAATGGTACTGGATGTTTCTGTTTGTTTGTAGTTTTGGACCTTTCGAAAGGTCTGCATATCCGGCTGTGGACCTTCATATTGTTGATTGGTTGCAACAGGATTCATATTTTGGACTGTTATACGGACCCTCTTGGCTGGAAGCATCAGTTAGCGGACTCGGGGATTTTGCCAAGCAATTCTTCAGCCGGCGCTTGTTTGTTCCAGGATGTGAAGGATATCAACAAGTTGCAGTCTTTGATTCTTGAATTGGGTTCAGGTAAGGTCTTGCTTTTGCTCACCTCTAATTTCTTGGCTCCAATTTTTGGGATGCTAGTTTGTTCTTCTGGGGACGTTAGGTGTGTCTAACAGAAATGTTTATGATGGCATCTTTGCTCGTGCGTTCCCAGGATTGGTTGGTCAAGGCAAAGTTCGTTTTTCTGTTGCCATTGATTCGGTAATGTTTCAATTCTTTGTCTTTCAAGAAAGTCGATACTGGCTGAGTTTGCTTATGAGCATTCTTGGCACTGTTGTTTTTGTCTCCTTCTGTTTAGACTTCTTTATGGACTTTGCGAGGGTTGAATACGGCAGTAAATGAACTATTGATGCATTTAGCTATTTGTTTTGAAGTTCTGGATTTTTGCACTTGGTGTCGAAAATTTTGTGCCAATTTCAATGACATTCCTATTTGTGAGGCAGCTAGGATGTTTAGGGTCCAAGCATTGAATCATTTGGATGGCATCTTCCTACTGTACTGAATAAGGTCAAAGAACATGAATCATCTCAAGTTGTAAACTACAACACTTTGTGTCAAAATGAGAAGAGAAGCATGTTGTATATTGACGGAACTTATGACGATTGCTTGATTAATCTCCCAGTAGTAATAGCTACGTGAGATGAAGCTAATCCTGATCCAAACGGTAAAAGGCCAAATTGGTAAATTTATTTAGAAGTGGCAGCTTGCGCATGGATTCATCTTTAGTGCGTACTAGTTGAATTATGTGTATGCAACTTTGCTGAAGAATGCCTGATTTTGTTCCTGATTTAGCTTTCCTCTTTTCATATACCTGCTTGTTTTGTAATGGTTTCTTTTTGGTATTTTTATCAGGTAACTGAAATGCTGAGGCATGTACCTCTTTCTAAAGTAGCAGCGCTGATCAGTGACCTACGTAGTCATGGTACAGATTTATTACCTTCCTAGACCTTTTAATTATGAGTATTCTTTCATGCATCCCTTATTGTGCATGTTGGAATTCCATGTTAAATCTTGCTAAATGCAAAGTAGTTGTATCTTTCTGACATTTGTGCCATAACTTCCCAATTTCATTCTCTCTACTTACTTTCGGGATCAGGAGGCGAAAAGCCTGCTCTCCCCGACTATTGTACTCTTTGGACATGTATAGAGTTAAGTGAGTGTCAGCTGATGGTATAGTAGCTGTGATTGTAATATTACTGTTGTTCTATGCTCGCAGATCAAATCTCTAGCATATTTTGGTTGCTGCATTCAGATATTCATGACGTTAGGGTGACTACTTCCCTTGAATATCTGTCCGCTATGGTAGCCAGTGTAGAGTCACTTAACCAATCTTCTGATGGGCTTAGTGGAGACTTGGGGAATTTATCCCTTTTGGAACAAAATTTCAGGAGAGGAAAGTTTCATGTCCGGTTCAAACGTCGAAATGGTCGTGTTCGTGTGATGGTACCTGCCCTTTCCTCCATCTCTTTCGCTTTCTTCTTAATTCAAAATTCTTGATCTACTTGCCTTATAGCTATCAATCTCCTTCGGAACATTAATGACTTAGTTTGATACTTGTTTTAGAACGAACAATTTCATATGGAGGAGTCGGGGATCAAGTTTACTTCTGTTACTGTAGAGGATGGATTAGTCAGTCAAGGGCTTGTGCCAAAGGTCAGTAGTCTCTGTATCATGATTTCCCTCCAGTGATTATTCGGGCAGCCTTGTGTGCTTTACTCTGTGAGTTTTGGAGAGCAGGTGCTATTCAATCTGGAGCTGTCGGAGAAGGAGAAGCTCGAGAGAGCCAGAGTTGTCCTTCCTTTTGAGCACCAAGGTATTTGGATTTTTGGAGTGTTATTTGTGACCCATTCTCCGGCGAGGTATTCAAGTATCTGAACGTGTACGTTGTTCCAGGAAATGGTAAACATATCCAAATTTATGATGGCCGGAGATCTCTTGCACCTGAAAGCATGGGTGAGGTGTCAGCTGACACATCACAAAGCAATACGGAAGAATGCAGTAATGGTGGTGGTGAGATAATATACTTTCGGGATTCAGATGATGAGAGGCCTGATTCTGACGAGGACCCTGATGACGATCTTGATATATAATATTTTTATGAAATGAACTGATTGCTTCCCCCCATGCTTTGTATGGACAAGTCCATCTTGATATCTAATTACAATGGCTAACAAAGAACTGCAGAAAGAAATCTGAGTTTGTATAGTGAAGGATATGCTGTGAACTTGTGTCTTTTGGTAGAAGAGAATGGAGAGGTTGTTGGTTCATGCTATTGAAATGGCTGGATGAGTTTTGATTGGAAAATGATGCGCGAGACCTCCGGGTGTAAATTCGAGATAATCTCCCTGTTTGAGGTGATAAAGATTGCAGTAATTCACTAATTTGAGACAACATGCAAGCTGGCATTATATTAGGCACCAAAGTGCAGTGCAATTGAGCAGCCAAGTCAGTAACTTATCTACATCTTGATTGTATTGTATCTTATTCTTCATATGTTTTGCCAGCTCTTTCCGTGAAACAGAATTCCCGGCAAGCTTCAATCATCTATTATTTTATATATATTGGACATTTGGCTAACTAATGTTCACTTTATTATTGTTTATTGTTTCTTGGGGAAGGGGAAACCTATACTGGTTAAGGAAGGATTTCTTCTTAAGCTTTCTCTAGGGCAATAAAACTCTACATTAATCCCAAAGCCAATTTCGGATTACAAAAGAGGAGCAATAACTTTGAGGATAGTAATCCACTCGTATGAGAGATGATTGCGGGCACACTATCGGGTAACCCAGTTGGCCTTCACATTTCGAGCTTGTCGAACAAAAGCCAGAACAATATCAAGGCAGCAACTCAAGATATTGACCACAACATCCAGACATGGTGATAGTTGGTGGAGAGCAATTCCATTGAGTTCAAAAAACATGTAATATTGTAATTGATATAATTAGAAAACATGGTTTCGAGAATGAACACATATGCTTTTCGTAATGATACTTTTAGCTTTCATAATTTATATGCTCTAATCCTAATTTCAGTATGAACTATGAAATGTGTTCGTTTGTAATTATTTTTGAACTTAAAATGTTTACATCTTTTCCTATTAAAAAATAGAACAGACTCTTACCAAAAAAAAAAAAAAGAACAGACCAACGCAATGACCACGAATATAGGGTTCCATATTATAAGCAGCTTCCTTCGCTCCGTCGCTCGCCACTCCCACAGTCCCACTATCCTTCCCTTCCATTCCACTGTCAACACCCGCATCCTCGCTCCCCGCTTCTAGCCGCCGATAGCCCCCCATTCACCCCCATCTCATCCTCTCATTCGTTTCCCAACGCCGGTCACCGTTGCCGGTCCAGCTCTCCAGGTCGCATTCGCTGCTCTCACGTTCTCTCTCTCTGCATTCCACTCCGACGGAATGTTTAGCCCTACAGAAACCGGAGAAAGTAAGTTATCTGTAGAACAAGCTCGCTTATCTGATTGGTATGGAATTTCTAGAACTGAAACTCACAATCTCCTTAATTCTATTGCTGATCATTCACCTAGAAGATTGATTCTGTTTGTTAGATTAAGGCGGTTGAGTTGTAGGGGAGTCAGTCCACTACTAATTATGAGTTGGGGTCGGTTTCCATTTCACGTGGTTTAGTTCGCACTTAGCAGCACTGCTGATTTGGGTGGCTAACTGGAACAGAATTGCAACTCTTCTGTGAGGGTTTGCTTAGAAGATACTCCAAAATCCTAGTTGTTGAGGCTAGCTATGAGTAAGCAGTAGGTGAAATCTGAAAGGGGAAACATCAGGCATCTGCTAGCTCATCTAGCTTGGTAGAGCCTAAACATCCGTTAAATTCAGAGTCTTTGATCCTGGTTGGTCTTGCTGCTGTATAAACTGTTGGACGAATTCAAGCCAGAATTTTCGGCTTTGAACCGTTGCTGATTTGGAGCAATTTAAGGGCTCTTGATGGATTATTTCCATCTCTGCACCAACGGCTATCTTTCCCAGTTGCCTATATATTTAGTTGGTACAATCCTGTTGAAGCAACTTTTGTAAGTGGAAGCGGTATAGGGCTGGGTTACAAAAGGGTGATTTCTGCAGAGAGGTAGAGGATCTCTGGGTCGGTTTCAAGTCTGTGACTTGAGGATTTCATTTCTGCTTTTTGTTTGTAGCTAGTTATTGAGTCTTTATTGTTCAATTTTAATAAAGGGTCTCCCAGACTGTATTCTGGGACGAGGAAGTAAACCATTGCACTTGGGCGAACCTCGTTAAAAAACATTCTGTGTTCTTTACTTTCTGCAAATCGTTTCCTGCTCCACAGACTCTGTTCTTGAGGAACTCTGTCTTCCACCTTCTGTATTCTTCTGGTGCTATAGAGATTGATCGAAGCTGAGTTTTCAGCTGAGGCCTTTGGGCTTCAGGCCCAAGTTCATTTAACTCGCTTCCTTAATCTGTGGACTTTGGCCCATTCGCTGTGGTCTATTTTCTTATCCGCTGTCGAGAGATCGGTCAGAAGAAAATCGAAGAGACTTCTTCTCTGTTCGATCTTCTCTCTTCTCTTCTTCTGCTCTTTGCCCTAAATCGTCTCCCAAACCACTTCACAAGTGGTATCAGAGCCAGGCCTTGACGAAGCTTGCTGCTGCCAAGGTCTAAGATCCAATGGCATCCAGCACGTTTGGACAAGCCGCTCTAAATCATCCTCCAATCTTTACTGGGGCAAATTACACTGCCTGGAAAAAGAGGATGAAGCAATTTATGTGGGGGGTAGACGAAGAACTATGGCTAATAGTTCAGAATGGTCCTATTCAAATGGATATAGATGAGCAAAATCTGTGGTCAGTGGCTCAAAAGAAAAGCGCTCAGCTCAATCAAAGAGCCATGCATGTCCTTCAATCCGCCATGAATCCTGAAGAAGCAGATCAGGTTGAGAACTGTGAAACAGCGCAGGAGATCTGGCTCGCTCTGGAGAGCACCTACGAAGGTACTTCCAACATCAAAGAGTCTCGTATAGATATTCTTATGCATGAATTTGAGTCATTTGCCATGATAGAAGGTGAAGGAATACATGAAATGTATTCTCGTTTTACTGTGCTTATTAATAAACTTAAGGGTCTAGGTAAATCGTTTCAGATTAAAGAGCTAAATCGTAAAATTCTTAGGTCCCTTCCCAAGGAATGGCTGCCGAAAAGGACTGCCATTGAGGAAGCTAAGAATTTGACTATTCTACCCACCAATGAATTGATAGGATCCTTACTTAGTCATGAACTGGTTATCAGGCAAGTAGGCCAGGAAGATGAAAAACGAAAAAAGAACCTAGCTTTCAAATCAAAAGCTGTTTGCTATGAATCAGATAGTGAAAATGACTTTGATAAGGAGTTTGCCCTGGTCAGTAAAAGATTTCATCGTATGCTAAAGTTTAAAAATGATCAAAAAAAATACTCTGAGGAATTAAGACCTGTGTCTTTTGATCGTAACAAAACAAGCTTTCAAGAAAGGCTGCCTCAACAGCAGACCAGACATTTTGAAACAGGTCAGCAGAACAGGGAATCTCAAGCATGCTACAAATGTGGTAAGTTTGGTCACATAAGGGCAAACTGCCCCTTGACCCTTCGAGCAAAAGAAAAGGCTTTGAAAGCATCTTGGAGTGATTATGATTCAGAACCTGAACAAAATCAATCTGATGAAGAAGCTTTCATGGTCACTGAAGAACATTGTGAGACAACTGAGATTGCTCTCAAATCAAACCACTCTGACTCTGACAGCAAAAGATGGTATTTAGACAGTGGATGTTCACATCACATGTCTGGTAAGAAATCTCTTTTCTCTTCTTTAGCACCTAGCTATGGAGGTAAGGTCTTATTTGGAGATAATGGTCATGGTGATATCATAGGGTGTGGAACTGTAGGAACTTATCCTTTACCCTCATTTCATGATGTGTTACTTGTTGAAGGGCTCAAACATAATCTATTATCTATCAGCCAACTTTGCAGTAATGGAAATCAAGTTGCCTTCAAGGCAGATCACTGCATTGTTGAGAGAGTTAAAGATAAAAAGATTCTGTTTGTAGGAAATAGAGTTAACAACATGTATGTGATTGATTTGAATGATCTGGATGCTTTCAATGAAACCTGTTTCATGGTTTCAAATCAACAGGAACTTTTATGGCATAGGAAATTAGGACACATCAGCCTACCAAAATTGGTGGTGTTGTCTAAATCAAATTGTGTTCGTGGAGTTCCTGTTTTAAAAGAAAAATCTGATTTCTTCTGTGATACCTGCATTTCTGGCAAACACTCTAGGAAAGCTTTTAAACCTAGACCAGACATAGTCACTAAAGGAGTATTTGAATTAATCCATATGGACCTATTTGGACCATCTAATGTGACAAGTCTGGGTGGAAAAAGCTATGTGTTTGTCTTAGTAGATGATTACTCTCGGTTCACCTGGGTTTATTTCTTATCTCATAAGGATGAAACTCTGAGTAAATTCAAAATTTTTGTCAATCTTTACCATGGTCAGTTAAAAACCATAAAAAGTGACAATGGTGGTGAATTTATATCAGAAGAGTTTGAGGTTCTGTGTAATGAATCTGGGATAACTCATACCTTCTCTGCTCCTAGAACTCCCCAACAAAATGGAGTTGTAGAGAGAAAAAATAGAACCATTATTGAGTGTGCTCGAACTATGTTATTAGAGTATAATTTGCCTAAATTCTTTTGGGGTGAAGCTGTTAGTACAGCCTGTTATGTTATCAATAGGGTTCTTCTTCGAAAAGGTATAAACAAAACCCCCTATGAGATTATGAAGAACAAGACTCCTAATCTATCTTATCTGCATCCTTTTGGCTGCCCCTGTTACATCCTTAATACTAAAGACCATCTAGGAAAGTTTGATGCTAAGTCTGATAAGGCTATCTTCCTTGGTTACTCTGTAAAGGGACAAGCCTACCGTGTCTATAATAAACGTACTAAGAAAGTAGAGGAATCTGTTCATATCGTGTTTAATGATGCTTCTGATGTCTTGAAAGATTCCAGCTGTGATTTACTTACTTATGACATGCTGGAGCTCACTCGTGACACCAGAAAATCATGTCCAGACCAGGAAGTAGAATCTGCTCCTGTTACAGAAGCATCTCCAGATAAGACAGGTAACGAAAAGGAGGTCTCCAAAGATTCAGAAATGATTAAGTCAACTGCTGCACCTCCTCACATACAGAAAAGGCACCCTGTAGATCAAGTTATTGGAGAACTGAATGACAAGCTCAGAACCAGAGGTAAGTATGTTCCTGGCCAGTATGCATTTGTTTCCCAAATTGAGCCTAAGAACTATAAAGAAGCATTAAAAGATGAGAAATGGACAATAGCCATGCAAGAAGAGTTAACTCAATTTGCTTACTTGCATGTCTGGGATTTGGTTCCTCGTCCTTTAAATCAGACTATTATTGGTACAAAGTGGATTTTTAGAAACAAATCAGATGAAGATGGCATTATTATTCGTAATAAAGCTCGTCTGGTAGCACAAGGATATTGTCAAGAGGAAGGAATAGATTATGATGAAACGTTTGCCCCTGTGGCACGTTTAGAGTCAATTAGATTATTATGTGCCTATGCTTGTTACATGAACTTTCCCCTGTTTCAAATGGACGTTAAAAGTGCCTTTTTGAACGGGGAAATTCATGAAGAAGTTTATGTTTCGCAACCCCCTGGATTTGTTGATCCAAACTACCCTGATCATGTTTATAAATTAAGAAAAGCCTTGTATGGGCTCAAACAAGCCCCCCGTGCTTGGTATGAACGCCTAACTTCTTTTCTTCATGATCAAGGATTTAAGCAAGGATCAGTTGATAAGACTTTGTTTACCAAGTCAAATTCAAATGACCTGCTTCTAGTTCAAATCTATGTGGATGACATTGTCTTTGGGTCTACTAATCCTGATATGTGTTCGCTGTTCTGTGATTCTATGAAAAAGGTTTTCGAAATGAGCATGATGGGAGAACTTCAATACTTCCTTGGTTTGCAAATTAAACAAACTGCTCATGGAACCTTTATATCTCAGTCTAAATATATTGCCTCTATGCTTGCTAAGTTTGATTTTGCTTCTGTAAAACCGACTCCTACTCCTATGGCAGTCAATGCCAAACTGGAAAAAGACGAGACTGGAACTCCAGTTGATGAGTCTAAGTTTCGAGGGATGATAGGATCTCTGTTATACCTCACTGCCAGTAGACCTGACATACAACACAGTGTATGTCTGTGTGCTCGCTTTCAGGCTAGTCCTAAAGAGAGTCATTTCAGTGCAGTTAAACGCATCTTTCGTTACTTAAAAGGCACTCAAGATGTAGGATTATGGTATCCTAAGTCAGATCATTTTGAGCTTATGGGTTACAGTGACTCCGATTTCGCTGGGAGTTTAACTGATCGTCGTAGTACCTCTGGTAGTTGTCAGTTTGTTGGTACTAGTCTGGTATCGTGGTCATGTAAAAAACAAGGGGCTATTGCCCTGTCAACAGCTGAGGCTGAGTACATGGCAGCCGGTAGTACTTGCACTCAATTACTATGGCTTAGGAACCAATTATCTGATTATGGTCTGAAAATTACCTCTATTCCTTTGTTTTGTGACAATACCAGTGCAATCTGTATGTCTAAAAATCCGGTGCAACATTCTCGTACCAAACATATTGAAATCAAATACCATTTCATTCGTGATCTGGTTCAATCCCAAGTCATAAATCTGCAATATATTAGCACTAATTTTCAGCTTGCAGATTTATTTACCAAACCTTTAGCATCAGACCGATTCACTTTCCTTTGCTCTGAAATTGGATTGCGATCACTGCAATCCATTCCTGATTTCTCGGTGCCCTAATCGTTCTGGTATGTTTTTTTTTCTTTCCTTTTGTTTATTTCTGCATTCCTTTGATTTCTGTGTTTACTTGATTGTTCTTGCTCTTTCCTTGTTGGTTCTTCCTTTTTAGTTCTTACTATTTCTTTTCCTTGCTAGTCTATTTATTTGTGTCTTGTCTTCGTCGGTTTAGTCAGTCTTAGCTTTCTGTGTGCTCTGAGTTTGTTCTGCCTCTAGTCATGGCCTACGCTTTTGCTCTCACTTTCTCTGGCACCCTTTTTCATGATCCCATTCCCTTGAACTATCATCGTCATGTTCAGTCCTTTGCCAATCGACCTATTTCCCCTACTCTTCAAGTTCCTTTCGTGGGTCTGGGTGTTCATGGGCTGGAAGTTAGGCACTTTGTGCGAAATTTGGGGTGGGATTTTCTGCTGGAAGAGCATCCTGCTCTTATCTGTCCTGAAGCCATTCGTGCTTTCTACTCGAATCTGCGCTATTTTGGCCTGCAATCTCGCACTCTTTCTTCCTTGGTCTTTGGCAATCTTATCACTCTTCCTGCTGGTGATTTGGGCCGACTTCTGCATTTTCCTGATATCGGCGAGAACCTGGCCCATGAGGTTGAACTTCCCCTGTTCAACTTCAATATCTCTGAAGAGGCGGTTCACCTGACTGGTCATGAGCCTGACGAAGATTCCACTCTTCCTGTCAACATCCTGGTGCCGACCTTACAAGTCTTTCATTACTGTCTCACTCGGATGTTTCTCCCCAGAACCACCTTCCTGGATCGGGTCACTCCGCTGGATCTCTGGGTAATGAGTCATGCTGTAGCTGAAGTTCCTCTTGATTTTTCTCAGCTATTGTTTGGAGCGCTTATTCCTTTCATCGATCACAATCATTCTGCTCCACTACCTTTTGGTACTCTCATTACCCGTCTGCTGTTAGCTCTCCCTATCAATCTCAATGCCTATCGTTTTGAGTCGCCCACCCTTTGGCTCTCTGTGGATAACATTGTTGATGAACTGGATATTGCGATTGAGGGGGAGGTAAACCTGATTTGGATTCAGAGCTCCAGTTCTGAATCTGATTCTGATGACTCTAATGATGGAGGAGATTCTTCGCCTGTTCCTGAACTCGAGGCTAAAGATTCTGAGGATGAAGAAGATCATGAGCCTGAACCGTTTGCTGCTGCCCTTCAGGATCTTTACGGTTCGGACTCCGCTGCGGACCTGGAAGAATGAGTGGGTGTGCTATATTTAGCTTGTGTTGTGAACTCCTTGGAGAGGTTGGCTGAACTTAGGGGGAGTCCTTTTGGTTGTTTCTGGTCTGTTGCTTTTGCTCTCTTGTAAGAGCTGGATATTTGTGTTTTTGCTTAAGATCTTAAATTGCTTTCGGACTATGGATTGGTTGCTTGGTTGTTTCGTGGTTGTTTGGGTTGTTGGCTGTTTTGCAGGTTTCAAGCAATCGACAATATCTGGCTTAGGGGGAGATTGTTGGACGAATTCAAGCCAGAATTTTCGGCTTTGAACCGTTGCTGATTTGGAGCAATTTAAGGGCTCTTGATGGATTATTTCCATCTCTGCACCAACGGCTATCTTTCCCAGTTGCCTATATATTTAGTTGGTACAATCCTGTTGAAGCAACTTTTGTAAGTGGAAGCGGTATAGGGCTGGGTTACAAAAGGGTGATTTCTGCAGAGAGGTAGAGGATCTCTGGGTCGGTTTCAAGTCTGTGACTTGAGGATTTCATTTCTGCTTTTTGTTTGTAGCTAGTTATTGAGTCTTTATTGTTCAATTTTAATAAAGGGTCTCCCAGACTGTATTCTGGGACGAGGAAGTAAACCATTGCACTTGGGCGAACCTCGTTAAAAAACATTCTGTGTTCTTTACTTTCTGCAAATCGTTTCCTGCTCCACAGACTCTGTTCTTGAGGAACTCTGTCTTCCACCTTCTGTATTCTTCTGGTGCTATAGAGATTGATCGAAGCTGAGTTTTCAGCTGAGGCCTTTGGGCTTCAGGCCCAAGTTCATTTAACTCGCTTCCTTAATCTGTGGACTTTGGCCCATTCGCTGTGGTCTATTTTCTTATCCGCTGTCGAGAGATCGGTCAGAAGAAAATCGAAGAGACTTCTTCTCTGTTCGATCTTCTCTCTTCTCTTCTTCTGCTCTTTGCCCTAAATCGTCTCCCAAACCACTTCACATAAACTGTCCATTTATGTTCTTGTTGTAGTATATATTGGTTAGCAGACGGACTAACACAGATATTGTGATGTTGGTAGCAGAGGGAATGCTGGAATTCTCGGAGGAGAGGATAATTGGGGAATATGATGGAGTTACAATCCGAGAGGCATCGGTGAAATACTTTGAGTGCGGTCGTACACACAATTTTAGGAGGCGCTGTGTGCGATCTGTTACTGGATCTCAAGCTATTGCATCGGAAATGGTGGCATTTCAGAGGGCATGGGACTCCGTGCATAACTATGTGTTGCTTGGTGTTGCTGCCCTTCCAGACGGGGATACTACTCACTTTCTATACGAGAACTTTGACAAGGATTTGCAACAGTACGTTGAGGAAATTGGAGAAATTGTTGATTCTAATGGAGTTATGAACCTAGATTTCCTTCTCGTCATGAGGTACTTGTAATAACTTCTATTCAAATAATCTTATTATCAAGAAATTTGGGCGATTTCAAAATGGTGATATATATTGTGGACCTGGAATTATCCATTACTTGCTGTTTCACTGTGAGCGTTTTGTTTTATTACGGGTAACTGGTTTTCTGCATAATCTCTTCTTTGAAACTGAGATATTGCCATTTTTGTTGTCTCCGTGAATTTAACTTGATTCCTCGGGTTTTATATACCAATGTTCTTTGCTTTTTCTTTGTCTTTTGATCTTCGTATGGTTTTCATCTTAAGAGCCCAGAGCGTTAATACTGATTTTCTTTGATGTACGCATTTAGATAATATAGTGATTCTTGTGCATTAGAATTATGTATGATATTGATACTTAGTTTGTCATTTACCCTTTCTTTTTTGAAGGAAAACTTTCCGTGCATTGCATGAATTACATATTGAAAACAACCAAAACCATAACAATCTTAAGTGGGATGGAAGCGGAAGGTACCCATTAAACATTGTGGTTTTCAAATATCCGGTTCAAGGAGTAACTAAGGTTGATGTACGGTTAACGGGGCTTGGAGATCGAGGAAAGGATTCAAGTGAGTTCAGAACCCAAGATTGTCAAGACTTGGCTGATATACTTACTACTCTAGTTCAGAAGTATTCGGCAGATAATGCTACTCTGCCCTTTTGGTTCGAGGCATTGATGAGACATCTGAGGTTAGTTTTACTATTTACCATAGATTAGCTATGCATTTATAGTTTCATCAACCATCTGGTCTCTTTGTTAAGTAATCTCACCTCTTTCAAGGAGGTTGGTGGTTCAGTTCTCCACCCCCTTCACCATTATAGAAAATACGGCAAGTAAATCTAAGGTATCTATAGGAGTATGATCTGCAAAAGTAGAATTGACTTTGAAGCTTATTTCTATTGCCTCGGTACTTTTTTGCTTCGCATGGTTTATCATTTTTATGACAAAATTCATTTTTTAATTGCTTCAAACTTATCTTCCTTTCATGTATGTATTGTCACTCTACATGTTTGATCCTTTTCCTGTTTATTTTTGGAGTGTGTGGCATATAGCATTGATAATGCAGTTAAAATTTTCAGGACCGTGGGCTGTCTCAATTTGCACAATTCTCTCTTTTTCTATGGAGCGGATTTGAAGTTGCAATATTTATATGGGGCCTTTTCAGCGTTGCGAAGGAGGGAGCTGCTCAAGGAGTTTGACAAAGAGATGTTGGATCTTATGTGTAAAACATCTAAGCAAGGTAGCTGGAATCCTAGGGAACACATCATGAGCCATCCAAACTTCTCCTATATCTTCCAACTTCATCACGGAGCAATACCTTACACAAGCATTGCGTCGTGTTTCTTACAACACTGTTATAATCTATACATGGGTGACGCAGTCCCTGTCCTTCCCTGGAACCCAGTAAGTAAAATAAACTAATTAATTACCATCTCGAATCATCGGACAACATTTTGCATTTATGATGAGTTTTGAAAACTATCAACTAATTTAGTTTTGCAGGTGAAGCGTTCGGTTGTTCCATCTAGTGAACGGTATGAGATGTTGCACTCAATGTGGCCTGAGTTTTTCTATCTCTTACCCCAGACCTTAGCCAAATTGGACGTCTCCACGTCTGGGTAAGTAGCTTCAACTCATGTAATGGTTGCATTACAAATCTGTGTTTATGATTCATTAAGAATGCTATTCATCAAATACAGGTTTATATTCATGGGACCCATTGGATTAGATGCGGTCTCTGTTCCTTATTGAGGTTCATTCCTTGCACCGTTTCTAAAGCTTAATGGAGCTGTAGGTGGAGCAGCGTTTTGGCAAATGTTTAGTTTGTGTATGATGATTAGAGTACAACTGAACGGGATTCTAACGGTGAGATGGAATGTGCAAATTTTCCGTAGCTAACAAAGAACTGTAGAAATCCGGGGTTGCACGGTCATGTATATACTGCGAATGTTTGCTTTTGGTACAACAGATTGTCGGTTCGTGCTATTTAGATAGCATGATGAGTTTTGATTGGAAAATTATATGCAAGACTCCAGGTTTAATTCGAGATGATCTCATTTTTAGGTGATTAAGAATCCATCAGTTTGGGATTACATGTAAACTCGTTATATCAGTTACCCCAAGTGCAGTGCCATTGTGCAGTAAGCCAATGAACATACTACTGCGAATTGCGAATGTCAGATTACATCCAACCAAACCACTTTCTTTCGAAAGAAAACATATGATAGTAGTCACTGCAACAACAGTTTTCTCTGCAGAAAAAATCAAACGCAAATGGCGATATGAGAAGAGTTTTTGTCGGTCAAACATTTTGAAACGGTGATACAAAACAAAACAAAAAATGATACGGTTACAAAATAAGCGATATTTTCACAGCGTGAGTATTTTGTTAATTAATTTATGGGACGCATAGCTTCTGAAACCCTAACCGTTTGTCCTATCCTTTTGTTTCTTGTGACGACATAATAATAATAATAATAATAATAATAATAATAATAATAATCTCCTCAAAAAGTCAAAGATCTCACCATTTGCACTGATATCACAATTAGTGGCCACCACACGGTTTCATCAGCTAAAAACAAAAGAAATATGACGAAATGAAAATGTATTTTCTTCTTATAATCATCCCATCCCATCCTTTAATTATCAATTTAAAACCAAATTGAAATCCAAACAGGAAAACAAACACTAAATGGCTGCTCAACCGTGCGCTTATTTCCTCGAGTAATATTATTTTGTAACTAATGGAAAAGCATCTACCGGCTTTTATGACCTTTTTAGTACTTAATTAATTTATGGAACGCAAGCTTCCAAATCACTAAACGGCAAACACTAAACGCTTGTTCTATCTTAATTGTTTCATGCGACAGAATGGACGGGAAAGGAAATTTGGTGTATTAGGTAGAATTGGAATCGTATAAACAGCCCAAATAGAGAGAAATAAACAAATAACGTTCTGTTGACTTCGTTGCGGTGCATGCATGGGCTTTTTGTTTTACCATACCTGGCTGTTTCTTTCGAGAGCTCAGAAACTAAATTAATTTGGCTAGTTTAAAACATGAAGGCATTTTTAGAGCATGATATTTCTAGCTAGCATTTTTTCTATATGTCGTTTATATTCTTTTAAGAAAAATTCAGTTTCAATAATTGCTTCTGCAACTTATTTTCACACTTCAAAGTTACTAGAAATTTAAAAACTCGACACTTGCCGAATAACTTAATTAGCATCTAATAATAAAATCAGATCTATTTCACACCCCTCTAGTAAAAAAAAAAAAAACAGAGAACAAAAAACATGCGTTTACTTCTTCTCACATGCGACGATGGAAGGTTAGGTTAGAAACAGGTGGACAAAAGGAACAAAAAGTATTGTTTAATTAGGTTAGACACCGGGCGTGGGACGAGCGTTTGTTCTTAATTAGACAAAACCAAAACCGATAAACAAAATAAGTAAATAACAAATTCTCCGTTGACTGAGTTCCTCTAGAAATAGGCTGCAATGCATGGGAGCTGGCTTTAATTTCCGACGTTAAAGAGGATCGAAGGTTGAATTTGCACATTTTTTTGTTGTTGTTGTAATCTCACTAAAATTATTAACAATTGCTTTAAGCATTTCTAAACGCTCTGTTTGGCAACAAGGGGGGTGCAAATTGCAGGAGGGTGCAAGTTGAGGAGTAAATTGCTGGGGGGTGCAAATTGCTGGGGGGTGTAAGTGGAGGGGTAAATTGTTGTTTGGATGAAAAAGTAGGGGGGTGCAAATAAAGTGCAAAGTAAGTAATTATATTATTTTAAAATAGATTTTAAAATTATAAAATAGATTTTAAAATTATAAAATATTATCATAAAATAATAAAATAAGTATTACTATATGATAATAAATATACTTTACTAAAAAAATAGTTATTATATAATAATGCTCAAATAATAATTAATTATAACAATTGTAATAATCATTGATCGAGCGATCTCAAAACTCGAAGCTCAACTCGTAACTGGTCATCCTATATAGGGTTTTCGTGTCTAGTTTAATATTAAATTGTCAAACTTAGTCAAACACGTTCGAATTTGTAAGTTTTAACTATTTAGTCAAATAAAATGAGTTAACCAAACAATTTCTCTCTATCTTTTCCACAAACACCTTGTATATCTAATTTTCAATGCAAATTCGATTCAACCAAGAGATCTAGATTTGACTTGACGAACATTTATAAACGTGTTTCCAGAGTCAAATGGTCAACCCCGAATAATGTTTACATTAATGATATTTATAAAAAGAAGAAATTGATAATATTAATTATTATATAATTATATATAACACAATTAGAAAAACAAAATTCCATAATTCCCCCCTCCCCCTCTCTTCCTTCCTTCCTTTGCACCCCAATTCGGGGGGTAAGCCGAAACAGTAAATTTGCACTCTCGTTTTGCACCCCCTACTGTTCCAAATTAACCAAACAGGTGCAAATGTGTTGGAAACTGTGTTTACCCCTCACATTTGCACCCTCCTCCCATTTACCCCTCTTCCCAAACAGAGGGTAAAATTTGTTGGGTACAAATTTAGAATTCATCTAACGACCATTTTCAGAAAAATCTATATATGAAAATGCATCAACCGAATATAATCCTCAATTATATGAAAATGCATATATCTTTACAATTATGCAATCAAAAAGACCCACACAAGAACCAAATCTCCATTACTCACCATAAGTATATCAGGCGACCTTCGCGCGTCTAAAATTATAGGAACAAAAGAGAGCCATTCGCAAGAGAGGCGGCAAATAAATGAGAAATTTGATATGATGCAAAGTTAGGCGACCTTTGCGTCTAACTTGCACCTCAATCGTTATAAATGAAACCTGATTAAATTAGATAGACAAATTTGATGTTATGCAAAGTAAATAAGAAATTTTGAGAAAAAACATAGTCGATAACACATTTTTTCTTAATAACCAAAAATAAAACAAAATCAAAGGAGTAGCTTCGAATTTAAATTTAATCATTCTTCTTCTCACGGATCTGATATGTGTCTTATGGCTCCACAATCCATGAGTGACATAGTCAACAGCTTGGTGCATAGATAAATCTTCAATTATCATGTCCAACTACCCACAATACCAAAGAAAGCAACTTTACAATAGATTATTGAATCCTTACCAGCATAAATAAACATATACGCACCAGCACTTATTACGCCCCACTGAGCTTCAGGATTCCTTCCGGGCACCTTCATCTTCTCTTTTCATCACAATAAATTTCTGGTTTCCCGAAAAACAGAAGAGTAGCTACCCTTTTGCTCAGCGTACCCAGAAGGCCAGAACAAGATGAAAACGAGAAGTGGAGATGGAAATGTCGTGGCAGTTACTGGAGCTTCAGGTTTCATAGCTTCATGGCTGGTCAAGCTCTTGCTTCAACATGGCTACACCGTCAAAGCCTCTGTTCGTGACCCAAGTCAGACTCTCTCTCTCTCTCTCTCATACTCTGTTTTTCCTTCCTTCTTTCATTTCCTCTGTTTCTGACTCTGCCTCGACTCCTCTGTTTTTCGCTGCGAAACGAAAAGCTGACCGGAAGAAGACAGCCCATTTGCTTGAACTTCCTGGAGCCAAGGAAAGGCTGGAACTTTTCAAAGCAGATTTACTTGATGATGGGTCTTTCGATTCCGTCGTTCAAGGTTGTGCCGGAGTCTTCCACACCGCTTCTCCCGTTTCCTTCACCGCCGCTGATCCTCAGGTCTTTCTCTTTTTCTCCCCAGAGGATTACAGAGTGTTTGCTTGCATTTCTTCTCTGTTTTCAACCTTACTCTGTTTCTTTCACAGGCAGAGATAATTGATCCTGCGGTGAAAGGAACCCTCAACGTTCTGAAATCATGTGTCAAGTCCGCCACGGTAAAGAGAGTGATCGTCACCTCTTCCGCTGCTGCGCTTTTCTTCACCGGGAAACCAATGAACCAAGATTCTGTGGTTGATGAGACTTGGTTCTCCGATCCAATGATTTGCCAGGAACGCAAGGTGGGTAGGGATATGCAACATTTCGGTCTAGCGGAATCGAATAACAAGACAACAATTTTGAGGTGGTTGATTCGAATTCGAACAACTCTAGCTAACACAAGGATTTGTTTGTTGTTGTTGTTTTTGCAGCTTTGGTATCAACTTGGCAAGACATTGGCTGAGATAGCTGGCCGAGATTTTGCTAATGAGAATGGGATTGAGTTGGTGACAATCCATCCTGGTCTTGTATCTGGGCCATTTTTACACCCCACTCTTTGCTTCTCAGTGGAGGTTATTCTCAACCTGGTAAACGGTAAGAACTAAGAACAAACATAATCATATTTCACGAGCCGAGAGCAATTGTACTCTATATAAATCTCATCTCGTAGCAATAATAATGTGACTTAACACAAAATTTACATATTGGTTCATGGTTGTGTATAACTTGTGTGTGTTCAGGAAACAAGACTTACCCCAAGATGCATTATTGGTCAGTTGATGTTAGAGATGTTGCTGAAGCTCATCTTAGAGCCTTTGAAACTCCATCAGCTTGTGACAGATACTGCTTAGTTGGGAGTGGTGTCAGTCTCTCTGAAGTTTTGGGGATTCTTCATAAGCTCTACCCAACATTGCCTCTTGCTGACAAGTAAGTAGAGTTTGCCAACCAACTTTTGGTCATTATATATGCTGATGGGATAGGTGTGACCGTTGATTAATATTGAGCCTGATTGATGGGTGTTGTTTGTGGTAATAGATGTGATGAAATGGATATTTTGAAACTCCCTGAATTTGAGATATCAAAGGAGAAGGCAGAGCAAGGTTTGGGGATGAAGTTCATGCCGCTAGAGGAGTCTCTTACGGACACAATTGAATGCTTGAAAGATAAGGGGTTCCTTCAATTCTGATCCAGAAGACTTTGCCTTCCACTAATGGGCTGGAAACATTTTTCTTTTGTTTTTTTATGCAAGTTGCTACTACCTATAGCAACTTACACCATTTAAGTTATATCTTTTCATCTAATTATGTATGTTTGATATGGTTGATAATTGATATATACAATAATTTACGCTTTTACGCTTCTAGGTTACCAAAACGCTTCTACGCATAATCGTCGTTTTTATATCTATTGTAGTTAAAAGCTACGCTTTAAAGCTTAAAACTTACGGTTTTATACTTCTAGATCATCAAAAAGACACGTACTTGGATTCGAACCATTACCACTTTTAAAAAAAGCAAAGATCATAACCAATCACACTAAGTACATTTGTTGTATCTTTTTAAATTAAAAACATACAATAGCAGAGAGGAAAAAACTCTTCCCCCATTTCAAATTTCCTACTCCATGAGCATTTGTAGGAAGGGTAGAATAGAGAGTGTCAATTTTTTTTCTTTTTTCTCTGTGGAACGGGCCAACTTACCATACACATGCGGATTTAAACGGGTCCAGGAGTGTCAATTTTTTTCTTTAACCTCTTTTATTTATCCGTGGTGGTAAAATATATATGAAAAGACAAAAACAATACTCTTTTTTATTGCTAAAAAGAAAAATAATAATAATAAACTAATGAATGGATTCTAATGGGCTAGCCATAAAATAAAAAAGTTAAATGAGCCTGACCTACTCGGGATTTGGCCATCAAGTAAAACAAATGAACATCATGGGTTTGCCATTCTAAAACAAGCTATTTTCTCTAGCATAATATATATTATGCTATTATTTTATATCTTAGTGGCTAAAATATAATGTATTTTAAAGTTATTCAATGGTTCAACCTCGACCAACCCAATTAGTCCAATTTTTATCATTTCAAATATATATTATGCAATTATTTGATATCATAATGATTATATTATAGTGTATTTTATAGGAAATCGTTTGGTTTTATTCCCGAATCAGTGATGTGCAAATAGCGAATTGCAGTCATCTCTTTTTTTTCACTATTTTTTATTTTAAAATATAAAGTTTAAAAAGTAAAGAATAATTAGAGATTTGGCCCATTTTGATCAAGTCTAATTTATAATCACATGGTTCCCTGATACCCGATAAAAATCTCAATCCAGTTTGCAGGTGATTCCGTGTTTACCACCATTTTCCAGGGATACAGAAACGGCGGTTCCTATCCCAAATCGTGTTGTTCATTCTTGATTTTTTTAGATTCTATCATGGCCTGGCAAAAACCAGAAAACACAATGACGACAAGATGAAAGTTTTATAAAGCAAATTAATCGGCCAACGGGCGAGTAAAAGCTAGCAACGATTATGAGATGCTCATTTCCCGAAAACCGGCGGAATATGTGATTTTTTATTCGATTTTCTGGAATTCGTTGCATCATTTATAGGGATGGCAATGGGGCGGGTTTGGGGCGGGTTTGCCTAAACCATCCCCATCCCCATCTTCAAATACCCAAACCCATACCCGCCCCATACCCATGCGGGGGAATGTTTTGCAAACTCATCCCCATACCCGTGGGTTTCGGGTACCCATGGGTAATACCCATCCCCGTACATCCAACATTATTATACCTAAAACTTACAAGAAAAGTTTTAATTATAACCATAAACAAACCTATTATATTACGAAGTCAACAAAACACGGTCATTTTCTAAATACGATTCAAAGAATATGATCCTAAAACATCCATTAATACATAATATAGACTATAATATTTTTTAAATTATTATGCTCTAACTCTTGATACATTTACTAAGTAATAATTAACTAACATAATTTTGTTGACAAGGGGGAAAGTGAAAGAGTGGAAGGAGAATTGAGGGAAATAAATTAGGTTTTGATTAAGGTGGTTACTCAATTGCATTTCTACTATTTATTTTCTCGAGTTATCATCATCATCATTGATAGATTACAATTTAATCCACGTATTTTTTGATATGTGAAGAAATTCTCTTGGTGGAGCGGGTATGGGTATGGGTATGGGGCGGGGGAGGCTAAAACCATACCCGCCCCATACCCATCAAACCTTTTGCGGGTTTTACCCATACCCGCCCCATACCCGGTCAAAACGGGGATTCCCCGCGTTGACTGGGTATGGGGCGGTCGGGTACCCGCGGCCATGGGTTTGATTGTCATCCCTAATCATTTATTTCTCTTTCCTGCTAAAATTCACTATATTTATCACGTATTTTCCAAAAAAAAAAAAAACTATACAACAATAAACTATATACCTCATTATATTATCAAATTTCATAACTCAGCTTCCTCCGACCAACTTGCCGGAGCCACTCCGGTATTTACAGAATACACAAATCTTGATAAACCAAGAATCCAACACTGTTCAACCTAGTTGAAGAAAGAAAACCCACTAACGGGCCAATAACTGTACAAGCAGAAACCTTTCACTGTGCATATAGACACATTTTACTGTTACAACTCGGATGATTATTAGGTGTGTGCGGGTGTTGGTGAACTCTGGTTGCCTTTGAATGGAATTGCATGTTTTCGGTTGGATCTCGAGGACCCTTTGGTTAGCCTTTCCTGGCGTTGGTCTTGCAGAAACTGAATGCATCATTTGTTTTTAGGTGGGTCTGTCAGATATAGGGAGAGCCGGAGAGGGTGAGTGGAGTGAGATTTTTCCCCCATAGTTCGAGGCCACAAGACTCCTCATTGGTTGGCTTTGTTTGCTGTTGCCTCCGGATTCCACGTGGATTCAATTTACTTGGTGTAAGCAAGGCCACGTAGCCATCTTGGTTCTTGGATCTATCTCTTACATTTTGGTCCACATATCTCAGCTACCCGGCCCAGCCTCTCCATCAATCCAATGTCATCTACAGTATGATTTAATTTTATTTTTTTAGAACTTTGAAGCGAGCAAGACTCTTTTAATCTATCTCTTCTTTACATAATTTCATTACTTTTATCTTCTCGACATCTCACTTCCTTTCTCTCATTTATCTCTGATCCCTCTTCTTGCTATGCGTGGAGTTGGAAGCGATCAAGCGGCTGATCTTGCAGGCACAAAGAAGCTCCGAAATCGTCAGTTATGTCTATGATTTCAGGTGATTTTTCCTTCTCTTTTTTGAATGTTTGATTTTCTGTTTTGGAGTTCCATTTAATCATCGGGATGTTGATTTTTTGTTAGGGTTGGACCCGAAGATTGCATCAGATTCAAAGCGCTGCATCATTTGGTCTGATACAAGCTTCTTTGTGGTTCTGATTTTAGGTTTTCATTTTGAGTCATCTGTGTATTTTCTTTGGTTCCTAAATGGGGTTTTATATTGTTCTAATTTTGGTTCTTTTCTTCTCCATGAGTTTATTCAGACTCTTTCCAGGCGGTGGTGGACTCTTGGATTCTACCCAGATTCCGCTCGACGGGGTATGGTGGGAACCTGGTGGATCTATTGTTGTTCAGGACGTTGATGGGTAACAAAAAAAAGTCGAGTGATGGGTCCAATGCCCTTCCTATCCTTTTGGTGCTTTTAAAATTCACTTGATAGTTTGATGATGATGAAGCTTTTGATTATTTCAGAACTGACTCGGTCGCAAATGACTTCCTGTTCGGCTCTGCTGAAGGCTGGTGGATATTGGTCGACTTCATGATCTATAGTTACGGCTGCGATGTGAAAAGATATAGGGAAATATAGTCATTTATATGATTCACAGTCTGGTGGGATGCTTACATTTTCCTGTTTTTGTTTTTCAGCAGGCGGCCTCTTGGGTCGTCGATGAGAAGAGTGATACTACTTCGGGTACAATTAGTTTGAGCGTTCCTCTGAATGAGAAGAGTTATACTACTTCGGCCTCCTGGATGCTAATTTGTTATACCCTTCCCGATCTAAGTATGAGAATGTTTGGAGCTTGGTAGTTGGAATATTCAAACTGCTCATAGCGAGATCACCGAGCAACCGAATCGTCGACTCTATAAGTTTTTATGTATTTGTGTAGCTTCATTTTTCCAACTGTTAATCGTCTGCTTTACCTGATTTTTTGGTGATGTAGTTTGTTTTAGTGTGGTTTCTCCTTTGACAAAAGTGAAAGTCGAGAAGCTTCATGATGCAGCAACAAATATTTAAGGGATGATTCCTAGACTTCTATTCCATTTTCAATTGAGGATTCAGGCAACAATTTCTGGAACGCCACGGGTGCTGCCTTAGCATAGTTTTCTTATTTGCAGCCATACTCTAATATTCCTCTGTATATTCGTTTCTGTTACTCTCTGCAGATGATGTGAATGTCTCATAATGTGCATTGTTGACAAGGAAAGTTTATTTTGTGTTCTCATGTTAATTTAACTGATATATATAAACTTCATATATGGGTTAAGAAAATTATGTACAAATTTAATCATTAAGTTACAATATCTGAATGAGTTATAAACTTATAATTTGTTAGATCAAGTCCCGCAGCGGAGCGCGGGCAATGAAACTAGTATAATTAACAAAAGAAAGTCATTACCTCTATCAATTGTCTTTGTCATACTTGCGTACTTGCCTAATTACAACAAGTCATACGTTTCTACTCTTTCCACGAAACAGACTGGAATTTTAGTTCACGTAACCTACATTAACCAAACTCATGATAAAAAAATATTACCCGTAACCCACCAAGCTTTGATCAGTGTGTATTGTTGCTTCTGTAATGGTGGCCCTGAAAGGGGGGGATCACCTCCCCAAATCATATTGAGGCCACAACCACAAATGTCGAATTCTGCCCTACGACGATCTCATCAACTTCACAATCAACGTAGAGTCGAAATGGTCCCGAAAACTATCATACGCTCCTGGGCTTTCAGGATTCCCCAGTTAGCTCCCCTGTTTCTTTTGAGTTCAAAAACATTCAAATCTTGGGAAGAGGAAGAGGAGCGATATCATGAGTACAAAAGTGGCGGTATGTGTGACAGGAGCTACAGGTTTCATAGCTTCATGGCTTGTCAAGCTCTTGCTTCACCAAGGCTACACCGTCAAAGCTTCCGTTCGCGACCCATGTCCGAAACTGACTCTCTCTTCCTACTCTGTTTTCTTTCCTCTGTTTCGGACTCTGACTTCATTCCTCTGTTTTTGTTTTCTGCGGTAAAACAAAAAAGTTGATGAAAAGAAGACAGCCCATTTACTTGGATTGGATGGAGCCAAGGAAAGGCTGCAACTTTTCAAAGCAGAGCTGCTGGAAGAAGGGTCTTTCGACTCCGCCATAGAAGGATGCTCCGGAGTTTTCCACACTGCTTCCCCTGTTTCCTTCTCGGCCGCTGATCCCCAGGCAGAGATAATTGATCCCGCGGTGAAAGGAACCCTCAATGTTCTGAAATCATGTGCTAAATCTCCTTCTGTAAAGAGAGTGATCGTAACCTCCTCCACCGCATCAATCTTCTACACAGGGAAACCAGTAAACAAAGATTCAGTTGCGGATGAGACTTGGTTCTCCGATCCAGAACACTGCAAGGACCTTAAGGTCGCCATAACCAATATGATCGTTTAGAGCTATTTTTACCGTGAGTAGAGTTGTCAATATTCTCCTTCCTTACAGATTTGGTACCAACTTAGCAAGACATTGGCGGAGATTGCTGCATGGGACTTTGCAAAGGAGAATGGGGTGGATATGGTGACAATACATCCTGGCCTTGTAATTGGTCCCTTTTTACAGCCCAGTCTTTCCTTCTCAGTTGAGGTCATTCTCAACCTTGTTAATGGTAAGACAAGAAAGCGAAGAAGGAAACTGTTCTAAACCCTTTTGATTAACCACCCCCGTTCTTCAAAGGTGTGATTAGTGATTTGATCATTTGTAGGGAATAAGAGCAGCCCGTTGTCCCATTTTTCGGTGGTTGATGTTAGAGATGTTGCAGAAGCTCATATCAAAGCTTTTGAGACTCCATCAGCTTCTGGTAGATACTGCTTAGTTGAAAGCAGTGTGCCATTGTCTCAAGTTTTGGGGATTCTTCATAAGCTCTACCCAACATTGCCTCTTTCTGACAAGTACTTGCTAGGCCCTTTCCTTCCTTTGTGTTGTTCTGTGTTTAAGTTCAATAATAGTTTTTGCCAACATAACTCTGGGTTTTGTTTCATTTTACTTTGTGGCAGCAGATGTGGAGAAGTGGATATTATGAACTTGCCTGGATTTGGGGTATCAAAGGAGAAAGCAGAAGGGTTGGGGATCAAGTTCATCCCGCTGGAGGAGTCGCTTAAGGACACCGTTGAATGCTTGAAGGAGAAAGAATTCCTTCTTTTCTGATTCAGACTTTGCTGTCTATTGGTTAAAAAGTTTCATAATAATGTTAGCTTCCGGCTTACATTTGGCGATCATCTTTGTACTTTGTAGTACTTTTATAATTAAAGGTGGTAATTCAAATATTTGTCTCAGTCGAGACGAAACTCGATCTAAATCCCATTTCTTAAATGTGGCGTGGATTGGCATTATTCAATGTAATAATGACTTGCGAGTGTTTATTAATACATTATTATATATTAATAATCAGATTCGTTTGATTCGTAATTGCTAATGATTTTATCCAAAACAAGACCAGTTTATAAATTGGTATAGTATTTTACCAGTACGTTTATTTGTGACCTCACTAGTTATTGTGACTTAACTCATTACGATCCAACTTATCATGACTAGACTTATTGACATTCGACCCATTATAGGGTTTCTCTAGCCTCTTTGGTTGCCAATGCAACCCCTTCTCTCAATAGGGCAGTGCACTGTAGTGCTTATGGGACTCGACTGTTCTTCATTCATTCGCCGTTACTGGATAGTCACTTTTTCACTCAAACATTCCCTCCATCCATGACTAATTATTTCTTGTATATCGATTAAATGAGCTTATCATGCAAGTCTTCCTTAGTATAAGATTGAATGAAAACTCCCTTGTTATTAACTAAAATGTTGATAATCTCTTTACATTACACAAAGTTTTGCAAAGTAAATTATTTTTTACATAACAATTTAATCATTTGTGATATTTTTTTGTAACGTATATCATTTATTATTAATCAATATTCCTAATTATTAACTCAAATCTTCACCACGTCATCATTTGCATAATGCAAAGGTTCTGTATGTAACTTTGGCAATCATGTTTGCTATAACTCTACCTAAATTCAACTCACTAAAATATGGACCGCAAACACGTTACACATGCCTACATTGATTTGTTAGTGCTTATGCCTTGCCTCACTTGATCCAAAACTCGTTTATTAATATCTGAATTCATTTGATTCGTAATCAGTATTGTTTTAATCCAAAACTGACTAGTTATCGACTGTTAGTATTTTACCATCATTCTCGTGATTTGCTAATCATCATGATTCAACTTATCGTGACTCTGCCTACCCCATTATAGGGCTCTTATTAGGAATGGCAATGGGGCAGGTCCGGGGCGGGTTTCTTGGTACCCAGACCCGCCCCATGGCAGGGCGGGTCCAGGTCGGGTAATTGATCACGGGTCACGGGTCGGGGCAGGTCGACCCAATGGGTATGCAATTTATATGAAAAACATTAGAAATATTCGTTATTTTATTATAAAACTAAGAAAACAAACAATATTATGACAATTGTAGTTAAATTATTGGAGAAATTGAGGTTTTCACTAATTTACAACTTTATTATAGCTAAAATATGATGCAATAAAAGGAAAATTCAAAGTAATTTGACTAAGATTTCATGTAATTTAGATAAGAACGGGTCAAAAATGGGGCGGGTCAGGACAGGTCGGGTCGATAAGACTACCCATGCCCGCCCCGCCCCAAAACAGGTCAAACAGGTCGGGTAAAACGGGCCAGGTCGAAATTGCCATCCCTAGCTCTTATAGCCCCTTGGTTACCAATGCAAAACCCTCATCCTAATTAGGCAATGTGAATGAGATAATCCTTCACTCAACAGTTCTTCACGCTTTCCTTCGTTATTAACAAGTAATGAATTTGATTAATAATTACACATTGTGTGTTCCGGAATCTACAAGTTTTAGCATACACTTACTTACAAATTATCGCTGCTTTCATCCAATGATTTTAGATACAACACAAATAATCCAACAACATAAGGAACAAACGTTTTTAATTTGACAACACAAATTATCATAACTTATGCAAAAAAATTAATTTGTGAGAGGAAGATGAACCTTGACCTCTAGATAGAGCGGAACAGGGAGAGGCGGCATGCCTGAGATAGTGAGGTTTTAAGGACGGAAATCACAAGCAACAGCGCGAGGATTGTCATGGATGTTGTCGCTTGGTCCTGTAAACTTTGTACAAAACTAGTATGTATTATTGAAATCTATTTTTGACAAAAGAACTTGTACATGAAAAAAAATTGTACATAGAAGTTGTTGACGTATAATTTTGTATAAATTTTATTTTTTTTTGCTAAAAAATTTTGAACTGAGAAATTCCTTACATAACATTTTTGTATAGAGAACTTCCGAATTTGTTGCGAGAATAGAAAATTATTTCCACATCAAAGGGTACTTGATAAACAACATGTTTTGCTAGCCTCGTACCACATGAATGGAGATGCAAGTCAGTGGGTTCAGTGGCTCGAATACGAGTTCGAGAATACAAGATGGTGATGTCATGGGACAGGTTTGAAGTTTAGTTTTGGAGAAATGATGCGTATTATAATTTCGTCATTATTATTATTATTTTGTAGAAGAATGACGCGTGTATATTTACTCGCATCACCATGACTTGATACATCCAACATATAATAATCATTATTATAAAAACTGTATCGGATCAATGGCAGGGGCAGTAGAATCACTAAACCAGTTACAATAATGATTCGGTTCCTTTGATTGGAAGGCTAGAGATGAACCAAATGGTTTTTGAAGGTTTGACATGAAACAAGATGAACCATTCTGGTTTAACTGGTTCACTAATTCACTATTTTAACCACAAACATTAAGGAAAAGGACTTTAACGTAAACTAAGATCATCCAGCCTCAATCACTAATTTTATTTATGCTTCCTTTTCTTCATTTATCGGTCTCATTGTTAGCTTTCTCTCGGCCATTATGGATTGTCACCCTCATTACTAACTAAAATTTCATAAGAGAAAATTTATGATTTATTTTGTGAGATAGTTTGAATACTTTGTTAACACATTTTTGCGATAGATGATATGGATTTGCATTGTTTATGATTAGTGATAAATTCACTACTATTAATGATATATATCTTTTATGTTATAGCGCAGAACGACTCGTTAATAAACGATTCTATAACGTTGAACCATCAATCACTAACTTTATTGATTCAACATTCGGCCCGGTTATGAAAACATTGACAATAACTAGTTAGGCTAACTGACACAATTACCAATTAGTACCTATACTAGCTATTACAACTCGAATACTTTAGTCCTATACTGATATCAAATAATCCAATACTCTTTTTTTCTTTTGAATAAGGGTGATTGGTTTGTTTTTTTAGTTACTATTTAAAGAATTCGAACTTGTACCTCCCAATCTAAAACTAGGGATAATATCCTTGTTACTCAATTAGCACGAAACTCTTATCGTTGTTAAACATCCAATATGATTATTCGCTATTTTAACCACTTAGCAATTGGGGAAGTTCCAAACCTTTCTTTTACCTCACTCTTCATTCTACAACCTTTGTGTTTAGTTATTGTTCGCTAGGTTTTTTGTCTATGACTTTTTCCACAAATCATTGCCTTTGTGTTTTGTTATTGTTTGTTAGGTTTTGTCTATAACTTTTTGCACAAATCATCGCCTTTGTGTTTGTTATTGTTAACTAGGTTTTCTTCTATGTCTTTTTGCACAAATGATCGCATTTGCTCATCATTTTGCAGCTCATCTCGGAATACTGTCAGCGGAATCCTAAATTGTTTCCCGCCACAGTTTCCCAAGGCCGCTACCATGAGTTTTGTATCGGAACCGAGTTTCATCCTGTTTAGTGTTTTTTACTTTCCTTTTTCCCCTTTTTGTTGAGCATGATCACAATTGAGCAGTGTTGTCAAAACCGAACCGAACATCGATCCGGATTAATAAGAGGTTAAAGGTTTATCGGATAACCGTTGATTAACCTGTATTAAAAATCAATTATAAACCGGTGCTTGGTTATAGATAAAAAGAATAAAAATAGAGCAAGAATAAAAAAAATAGTCAAAACGGAAAAGAATAGTCAAAACTGATCACTTGTTATTATTCTCGTTGCTTTTGGTAATTTTTTTATTTATATATTAACTAAAAGAATGCAAAAGGCATGCAGCAGTTTACAAATCCCCAATCGCCCGTTTAAATGCCTCCGGGACCGGACTTGTGCCCGGGTCCGGTTTTTTCCGGTCCGGCCGGGCGGTCCGGCCCGGTTTTCATAACATGGCAATTGAGCCCACACACATGGGTATCATAACTTGAATACAAATCATCAACTTTGCCCACCATTCTGCAACTCATCTCGAAATACTATCGGCGAAATTCTAAGTTGTTCCCCACCATCGTTTCATAAGGCCGCTACCACGAGTTTTGTATCGGGACCGAGTTTCATCCTCTATATTATTATTTTTCTTTCTCTTTTTTCCTTTTGTTGAGTACGATCACAATTGAACCCAATGTCACTACCGAAAATCCATACCATATCTACTCAATGTTGGCAACTTTTATATCGGGACGGAGTTTCGTTCGCTTTAGTATTTTTTTTATTTCACTTTTTCCTTTTTGTCGGGGTCATGAGCGAGTATTATCCGCTTTAGTATTTTTTTATACTTTTCATTTTGGTTAAGATTGACAATTGAGTCCAAACGCATGGGTATACAACCTAATTCAACCCGACCAAAGCGATTTGAACCCATTTTACATGTTTTCGCCGGGAGCGAGTTTTATCTGTTTTTGTAATTGGTGTGTTGTGTCGGGTGTGAATTTGTCCAAAACTCAGTCCAACCAGGTCAAAGCGAGTTGAACCTGTTGTTGACGAGTTTTGAGTCGGTAGTGAGTTTTAGATTGAGTGTTTTTCATTTTGCTTTTTCTTTTTGTTTGAGAAAGACAATTGAATCCAAATCCATGAGTATCCAACCTAATTTGAAAAGATCTGAAGAATAACAAAACTATGAAAAGAATGATTAAGAATAAAATAAGATTACTTTCACTTTTTGGTTAACATTAAAAGTTTAAAACTATTACTCTTTAAAATATTTATTTTTTGATACACCAAACGCGAGCTGTTCCTATTCAGGAGAAAAGGAAACATATGATATCTGACAATGGGTAGTAGTGATCCTCCACAAGACGTAAATTATTATTTTATGACCATGATTGTCATTAGAGAAGGCAATAGCCCTTCAAAAGAAAATCAGAATGAATCTCGTGGGAGAGTTATTTTATTGGCAAAATTCACTTGTATAGCCATAACTATACACTTTTTGACAATAATAACCACTTTTTGAAAAATACACTAAAATAGCCACATTTGTTAAACTTGTTTGACAAATTTAGCCATTTCCGTCAAATACTTTGACGGTGTTAATAGCCTCCATCAGTTAAGTTGATGTGGATGCCACCTGGACGACACATCATGTCCACCTAGATCCACCATGCCACATGGACACCACATCAGCGCCAAATCATCATTTAAATGCCACATCATATTTGAATACAATAAAATAATTACTATTTTTTCCAAAGAATATGGAAAATCCCTCGTTCTCTTCCTTCCTTCTCCCTCTCTCCCATCTCTGAAACAACCATCTCCACTTGCTTCAGAAAACCCAGAAGCTGTTCCTCCATTCAACTCCGCTAGACTTCCCTTCACTCCCTTCCTCTTTTTTCTTTAATTATAAAATACAATAGCAGCAATAATTCTGAGTCAACAATCGAATCATGGTTCCTCCTTTACCCTTTGCTGCAATTTTCTTCCCCTTTTTGTCTCACTAAAAAAATCCTCCACCCTCAGATCTATGAAGTTTTCCCATTCTGCAGATCAATGAATAACTCCGGTTGGATTTTTTATTTGGGAACAGGGGAGTTGAAGATTGGTATAGGAGAGGTCTAATCTAGCCTTTTTTCATTGGCGGGAGCTTGGTGGTTGTGTGCGATTTTGACCGGATCTGAAATAGGAGAGTAGCGGCGACGAAAACTGAAGTCGAGCAGCTCTGGTATGGAGGGGAGGCAGCAGAGTCGGAGGTAAAAACGGCGTGCGGCGGAGATGAGGGTTGTGTCAGGCGCTTGGATGTCTTGGCGTGCGGCGGAGATGAGGTAAAAACCACTGTTGTCACTTGCTTCCGCTATTGGAATTCTGAATCGCAATGAAGGTAGCGGCGGCGGCGGATAGTTTGCGGGGGAGGACGCTGAGGCAGTGGAGATTGGAGATGGTGGAGGAAGATAGGCGAAGGGATTTGGGATTTTTTTCCACGGTGGAGGGTTTCATCTTAAAAAATATTAAAGCGTTTTTAGAATTCCACCCTATCCACGTCAGCCCTTCTCAACGTATAGGCATCCACGTCAGCTCTATAAAATTGGACTCTTTCTTTCTCTTCCACGGGACCAGGCCTCTACCCAACTTCCTTTTTACTTCCTCCCGTCGGGACCCTGATTGTAACTGTCCACCATAAGCAGTTTCCTCCTCGCCAAATTTATAGCGGTTTCATCCCTATCGATGTCGGAGCGTTGATCCATAAATCGGCTTCTCCCCGATCTCACAAGGGTTATACAAGATAAGTGATGCTCTCTGTTCCGAATTGAATCCAGGAGAGGTATTTGCCTTCTGCCAGGCACGAATCCCCCCTCAACCGCCGGATTGGCCCCTGCCTATTGTAGCAGTTTGCCTGAGATTCGGGGTCTGTAAGCAGTAAAAACCGACACCATCGACCCATCCGAAGAACGCCATCCATCTTGGGCTCTTCCAGTGCCGGTTCTCTTATACACGATCAGACAGCGGTCGGAACCGCCGTTCGGTCCAAGTTCCGGGGTCCCCAATGCAGATTCCGCGAGGCCTTTTGCTTCCTCGACTAGCCACAATCTGCTGCCACCAATTTGCTAGATTTAACTTCTATCTTTTCCGCTATATGAATCCTTGCTAATTCTTCGACCAAGCTCTTTATATGCCCTTGGGTAACTCATAGCAATTTCTGTATGAATGTTGTCGTCCTCTCCATCCCCAATGCTTCCGTGCCGTGATGGAAGTTAATGGTCATCTCCGGTACAAAGTTAGCACCACCAAGTACCCACCACGCGAAACAAAGGTGATTCCTCTTTGCTTCACCTTCTTACATGCGAAAACCCCCTGATTTTCCCACTAAAAAACCCTCCTGCGCCTTCTTACCCTCTTCCAACCCCAAATGCTATTATTTTTTATGCATTACTATGTCACTGTACTTACTCTACTGACATGTTCTCATTTGGTGCTATCATGCTAAACAATGGGCAATTAACCTTTTTGGTGTTTTTCAACTTTTTAACTTATTCACATAACAACTCAATTTATTGTTGGGATAAACAAGCATTTGAAAGCCAATAACCATGCATTTTATATAAGCATACGCCTCAAGATGAGCGCTAATATTATTCGATTGACATGCACTATTGTTAACATTGAAGATTTTCCTTGAAGGTGATCACTTACGATTTAGAAGTTACATACAATTCAACTACAACAATTTATTGTTTTGTAATTGTTATATGATGTTTTTACTAATACTGTACCTTATAGGTGCAACGGGATCGACCGGGGGCAATAATCCAAAGCCAGATAGAGTTTCTCCTGGCGAGCCCTTTGCAACTCCATCTTCCTTTGGCATGGATACTTTGGAAGGGGCGGTGCCAGGCTACCTATGACAACACTCAAGATTAATGGCGGTAGGACTTATATTTTTTATGTGTCTTACTGCTTTGTGATGTTATGTCTTGGTGCCTAATGCATGCTCATGTGTCTGAATGTTTCTGTGTCGATTCTTCACTTGTGATTCGAAGAGTTGTGGCAGGCAAGGTACCTCATAGCCCGGACGGTGCATTACTTGAATTTACAAAAGTCGAATTATTGTACGTATTGCCTGCTCCTACTCCTAGATGTTTTAATAAGAATGCACATTTGTGATAAAAACAAGCCCTTTTCATTTGCAGTGTAATTAAGCTTCGTAATTTACCTTTCTTTTTACCATTGTAGTAATAAACTACTAATCTTCAAACCGTGGTTAGGAAGAAAAGGAACAAGCCTACTACTATAGATGTTTAAGCTTCTGAAGGAATATGCGAGCAAGTATATACTTCTTCGCTTACACCTACGAGCTCAACGCACTAATTAGACATTAGTAATTAACCCGCCCATCGGGCGGGCTCAATGCTAGTTATACATAATTGGTTTTTCTTTTATTTATTTTTTGTTTTTGTTCAAGTAATTATAAATAAGAAAATCATTTTCCACCTGTCACGGTGTTTGACGAAAGATGCCAAATCAGCAAAAAATCGTTAGTCTAGTCAGCAACTATGATAATTCCGTTAAAGTTATAGACGTAATGGCTATTTTAGTGTATTTTTTCAAAAGTGGCTATTATTGTCACAAAGCTGATAGTTATGGCTATCTAGGTGTATTTTGCCTATTTTATTATATCCTCCTTGGACTTTCATTCGATTTCCACAACCAAATTCATGAATCGGTTGCCTCATCCCATACGACCAGCAAAGTAGACGACAGAGCAGCCACGGTGGAAAATTTTGGCGCCATGGAAACTTTGTTATATCCGCTCCTCTGGGATGGATTCCCCTGCCAACTTACAACTACATTTCAGTAGCAGAGGGAGAAATATAGGAAGAGGATCCATCGATCATGAGCGAAGAAGTGACGGTATGTGTGACAGGAGCTACAGGCTTCATAGCTTCATGGCTGGTCAAGCTTCTGCTTCACCGTGGCTACACCGTCAAAGCTTCTGTTCGTGACCCAAGTCAGAATCTCTCTCTCTCGCTCTTTCATACTCTGTTTTCTTTCTTCCTCTGTTTTCCTCTGTTCAGGATATATTCTGTGGTAAGAAATCAGGTGACGAGAAGAAGACGGCCCATTTACTTGGACTTGAGGGAGCAGCGGAAAGGCTCCAACTTTTCAAAGCAGACCTGCTGGCAGAAGGCTCTTTTGATTCCGCCATGGAAGGGTGTGTTGCAGTTTTCCACACGGCTTCCCCTGTTTCCTTCTCGGCCGCTGACCCTCAAGCAGAGATAATTGATCCAGCAGTGAAAGGAACCCTCAACGTTTTGAAATCATGTGCAAACTCTCCTTCTGTAAAGAGAGTGATCGTAACTTCCTCTGTCGCATCGATTTTCTACACAGGGAAACCAGTAAGCCCAGATTCAGTGGCTGATGAGACTTGGTTCTCCGATCCAGATCACTGCAAGGAACTTAAGGTAAAGCATCTCATACGGTTCCATATGAAATTTATGTTCTTATTCACCTTACTCAACCAATATTTACGTAGTATATACTCCGCGTGTATAATTTATTTTCACGCAATTTGTCTTTAAGGTTTGGTACCAACTTAGCAAGACCTTGGCTGAGTTAGCTGCGTGGAATTTTGCAAAGGAGAATGGAATCGACATGGTGACTATACATCCTGGTTTTGTAATTGGTCCCTTTTTTCAGCCCACTATGTGTTCTTCAGTGAGCATGATTCTCAACCTGGTTAATGGTAAGAAACATGTTTAAGTGGGTGCAATTACTAACTTAATAACACTTTCAATAACAAAGTACAACAAGTGCGATTACTAAGTTCTTGTTCTGTGTGATTGGGTGCAGGAAACAAGACTTACCCAAACTTCCATTACTGGGTAGTTGATGTTAGAGATGTTGCAGAAGCTCATATCAAAGCTTTTGAGAATCCATTAGCTTGTGGAAGATACTGCTTAGTTGAAAGTAGTGTGTCATTCTGTCATGTTCTGGGGATTCTTCAAGAGTTCTACCCAACATTGCCTCTGGCTGACAAGTACTGCTATGCTTTCTCTACGATGTTTGCTTTGTTCTTCAAGGTGTTTCTATGGCTTTTTTGCCAACAAATTCTTGCTTTCATTTTGTTGTTGTGTTATAACAGATGTGAAGAAATCAATACTGTGAAGCTGCCAGAGTTTAGGGCATCCAAGGAGAAGGCAGAAGAGGGCTTGGGGATCAAGTTCGTCCCACTAGAAGAGTCTCTCAAGGACACTATTGAATGTTTGAAGGATAAAGGATTCCTTCATTTCTGATTCAGTACCGAGTTTCGTACAAAATGTAATACGTATAGGCAAGTTTCTAGACCCAAATTGGTTGACAAGTTCATGGGGATCTTGTGCTTTCTACTGCGTGAAAGATTATGAATAAAGATCAGTTTCATGGATTTTCTTCCAACGTTGCGCAAAAGGGTATTATTCAGGATCATAAAGACTAAAACTTCCAATCCCCATTACAAACCCATACCAGTATAGAAAGAAAAATAAAGATTGTCAGCCATGTAGCCGACTCTATACAAACCTAGAAATCTTCATAAAGTTGAAAACTTTACAATCAATATGCCTATATGCACACTCACACCACACTCAATCTCAATCAATCACTCTAAAGAAGAAGAAGAAAATGAACCTCTCATTACAAAACCTATATGCACTATCTTTGGTCTCTAACTTGCCAATGTAGCTACCAAGAACATTTCTGCTTTACTTTGGTGAATTTTTCTCAGGAGATTTCTGCTTTGATTGATGAGAAGACTTGCCTGTGATCACTTTCCTTACCTTGGAAATTGAGTGCTTCACTTTGGATCCAACTTCTGATAGTATGTTGTGGGACTTCTTCTGAGGAGTAGTAACCACTTTCACCTCGGTTTCCTTGCTGGCTTCTACAATCACCATACCATCAGACCCTGAGTCGTTCTTATGCTGGTCCTCACCTTCATCTTGTTCCTCTTCTTGGCGTTCTTCGTCGTTTTCCTTCTCATTGTCCGATTTCGCTTTCTCGGGTTCTGCTTCAGCTGCTTTGGTCTCATCTCTTGTTACTGCTGGCTGTGGTTCTTTCTCTTCTGTCGGTTCAAGAACCACTTTCCTTTCTCTTGTGGATTTTGCCATCATGTCAAACAGTGAGACTTTGGCTGGGTTGATTGTCTCATCGCCTGCACTTGGTTTTGCTTCAGTTGAAATCTGCTTCTCAGAAGTTGCTTCTTCCACAAGTTCCACGGGAAGATCTCTTTGGGATATTTCATTGCCTAGTTCCTGAAAATATTATGAAATATGAAGCTACTTAGTACCACAACATCCCATCTTCAGGCTTAAGTTATAATAATGACTCAATGTTCTTCAAACCTTATCGATCAGAGTTGTGGCTTCTGCTTTGCCCTCTTCAGTTTTCACTTTTGCTTCTTCCTCTTCAACAATCTTCACATCACATTCACTTGGAATGCTCTCCTTCTGACGGCTGACCTCATCATTTCTGCTTTCTTTAGGTTCAATCTCTTCTTCAGGAATTCTTTCAGCCTTCTGTTCACTTTCTGGTTTGCTCTCCTGGATAATCTCCTTTTCCTTGATAACCTGTTTTTTAAGCCTCCTAGTTAAGATTCATTTCTCAAACTTTCAAAGTAATGGAAATAAGCTTGTCATTCTAGCTTACCATCTCAGCTCCGGATGCCTCTGGTTGATTTTCAGCATTATCCACCGGTTTGGTGATGACCGCCTGGGAACTACCTTCTGATGCAGATTCCAGAGTCTCTTTCTTTATAACAGCGCTGATATCAACTGTGTTTTCCTGTGTTTCTGCTGTTTCTTTGCTTTCTTCACTTCCATATGGGCATTCTGTAGTGACTTGTTGTTCAAGCTCCTTAGGTTGTATAAAGCCTGGGAACTCAAAATTGGAGGAAGGCTCAGAAGATTCTTCTTTCTCTTCTGGTCCTTCTTTCTGTTGGCCAACAATGGCCTCTTCCTTTATTAAGGATGCATCATCTTCCATCTCTTTAGATTCTTTCAAGGTTTCTTCTATGGACTTGCTTGTTTCTAATACTTCAGGATGCTCCTCTTCTGGTTTCTCAACAGATGAACTCTCAAGCTGAGTAGTTTCATTTTCTTCCAGAGGTTTAGTTTCCTGAGAAACTACTTCAGTTTCTTCAGTGATTGCAGATCCTTCACTTTCCTGTGAGCCCTTTTCAACTTCGGGCTCCAACTCAGAGACTTGAAACTCCCTTGAAACTTGCTCTACAGGTCTGATTGCTTCTCCTGCAATTGTAGTCAATGCAGAAACTTCCTTTGTTTCTTCAGTATCAACAGCTGCATCATCTCCCTTCTGTACTTCATTGCATTCCTGTACATCTTCTTCAACCTGAGGATCCACTTGCGTAGTAACATCCAGCTCTCGAGCCTCTTGCTGCTCTAAAGGCTCGTCTTCAACCTGTTTTGACTTGTCTTCTGATATTCCACCAGAAGTTTCTTCAGTTGCTGCATTAGTTTCACCTCCTGAAATATCATCACTCTTCCCAACTTGTTTCTCCACCTTATCTTGTTCAACTAGAGCCTCCACTTCACCTTCTTCTGTTTGTTTTGCTGTGTTTTCTGCTACAGATGCTTCTGGAATTTCTTCGGTCTGTTCTGAAATGTCAGATGCAAAAGCATTGACATCCTCCTGGATTTCTTTCACCTGATTTTCCTTTTCAATCCCTTCTGGCTTACATTCTGCTTCTTCTTGTTTTGGCTCATCTTGCATAACTTCAGGTTCTTCAGGGAGAGCCTGAGCTGCTGGAACTTCATCATCTTCAATTGCTTCATTCCCAGTGGAATCTGAAACTTCTTGCTTTTGATCCATCTCATCTGAAACAGAAACTTCTTCTTTCGCTGCATCTTCTGGGATTTTCACCTGATCCTGTGAGCATGACTCTCCTTCAGTTTCTGCTTCAGTTTCAGGCAACTCATCCTTCATTTCCGCAGTTTCAATTGAGCTTTCCTTCTCCTCTTCCTCCTTTGCAAGCAAAGCAGGAGGATCTTCCTGATGTTGCTCTTCCGCTTTCTCCTCCTTGATGGATTTCTCATCAGTTAGTTTGTCTTCAGTTGTGGCTTCAAGACCTTCAGATGCTTCCTTGGTTTGTTCTTCAACAGGCTTATTCTTTGTGCTTGCTTCAGATTCAAGCTCCCTAGGCTGAAACTCTTTCAGGGAAGTGTCTTCTGTGGTCTGGAGCTCCAAAGGATCATGTGAAGTGTCAGGTTGTGAAACCAGTACATTCTTGGTTTCCTCTTCTTCTGTATTCTCAATCACAGCTATGGTCTCATAGTCATCTTCATGGGCAGGGACTTCTGAAGATTGCACCACTTGATTCTCCTCTGGTAGATGCTCTTGGACAGCATTACTTTCTTCAATTACTGATTCAACATTGCCTTTCACTTCTTCCTCTTGCATTGCTGCCGACTCCAGGATTCCTGCTGCAGGAAGTCTGGATTCACAAACTTCATCGTAAGGCTGCTTCTTTTCCTCATGATCATCTTCATGGGAAGGTACTTCTGAAGATTGTACCACATGTTTCTCCTCTGCTACCTTCTCTGGGATAGCCTCGCTCTCTGCAACTACCGATTCCATGTTGCCTTTCACTTCTTCCTCTTGCATTGCTGCAGACTCCAGAATTCCTGCTGCAGGAAGTCTGGATTCACAAAATTCATCAGCAATATGCTTCATTTCCTCATGATCTTCCTCTATAGTTTCCTCCTTCGATGTTTCTTCAGACTCTTCAACTGATGCAGCAGCTGAACAATCCACCAACGGATTCTCAGTTCCTTCAACCATTGTATTCTCATCTTCTGTTGTTTCTTCCACCAATGTATCTTTGTCCAGAGTTGGAGAAGATTGGATGATGGCAGCTACTACTTCTTTTTGTTCATTGGAGTCTGTTCCCTTATCAGATTCTGTTGATGAGGGGATGGATTCTCTCACCTGAAAAATGATTGTTTGACTCAGACTGCATTCATACTTTCAAATAGAATCAGGAGTATCCAAACATACATAAAACTAGAGAAAGAAAGCTTCCTTAACATACCTCTTCTATCATATTTCCTTCTTGTGTTGTATCTATGGCCTCTGCTGCTTCTGGCTTAACTGATTCTTTCTCTTCAGTAACGCCTTCCTTCTCTCCTTCCTCTCCTAATACCGGTTCGACCACATTTTCACTCTGTACAAGCTCTGGCATTTCTTTGGTAGACTCTTCTTTGTCTTCCATGGTATTCTCTAATTCTTTGTCCTCATCAGCAGATTGAATAATCTCAGGCACCTAAAGAGAGAGATCATCAATGTTATTTCAAATAAGAAATTAGAGAGCAAATATGTGCACATTGTGCATAGAAGTTGAAGTTAACACATACTTCTTTTTCATCTACCGGTAACTTATCATCTATAGTTTGGATTTCTACACTGGCTTCGGTAGTTTGATCCTTTGTAGTGATTTTGTGTTTGGTGACTAGCTCTTCAGGATTCTCTTCTGTTGAAGTTCTTGTCTCTTGTTCTTTCTCCTGCAAATAGGAAGTGAGTGCAGTTAATTTTTCTGTTCAGCATATATCATTGAGTAAATGCAAGCCAAACAGCACTTCTATTTTGAATTACCTCTTGCAGCACACTTTCAACTTCTTCACCTTTCGGTGTTTCCTTCTCGATGATCTCATCTGTCTCAGGTACCTCGGTTTTGACTTCTATGGTTGAAGCTATTTCAGTGACAACTCCATCGTCTTGTTCTGTCTCATGTGCACTGCTGCAATCAACTTCTGCAGCAGTTTCAGACTGTTCCAAAACCTGATTAAAAAACTATACGTTTCAACAAATAAGCTTCTATTGAACTTTAAATTATGATGGATTCCAAAAGCTAACCGCTTCACTGGAGAGCTCAGCTTTCTGTATGTCTTCAGCTTCACTTGGCTCAATAGATTCTGTTGCATGGCTTTCTTCTTCTGGCATATCTACCTTCTCTTGAACATTATCATCCGCTTTACTTGAGTAATTTCCCTCAGCTCCTTCTGTCACTTCTCCAGTTTCAGGTGCCTCCTTGCTGATCTCTGCAACTTGTTCCAGTCCAAGGGATTCACTTTCTAGGCTTCCATGATCCTGAGTTACAGTTGCAGGCTCAACAACTGCTTCAGTAGTCTCCTTGTTACTTTCCACAACATCTTCTTTCTTATCATCTTCTGGTGAAGCTTCCGGAGTAACGATAATGTTGCTGTCCTCGGAAGCTTCAACACTTGGTTTGTGTTCTGTCTCATATATACTATGTTCTCCAGTGCCTTCATGAGCCACTACTGCAGCCTCAGAATCAACCTGAGGAACCTCGATCGCCCTTTCAACAGTTTCTCCTTGTTCAGTCCTCTTTTCCACTTCCTTTTCTTCAGTTTCACTCTTTGATTCTCCCTTCTCGGTCTCCTTTTCCTCATTTGGTAAACCCTCTATCTTTTCTCCTTCATGGGAAGTCTCCAATGTTGTATCAGGAGCTTTCTCATTTTGCTCTATCTGCATATTTCGGTTATCAGGTTTTACTTGCAAACAAGTTCTAGATTATCTCCATATAAGAAAACTATAAAAAGCCATAAGTAATCTCCTTTCACAGTAACTAACCTCTTTGCAAGCACTTGCATCATCAACTCCCAAGTCCGCAACTATGCCTTCTTTGACAGGCTCTTCAATTTGCTGCTCCACTGAAGATTCTGCTTCAGTTTTGGTTTCAGCATTCTGTTCTTTCTCATGGTTACTCAATGAAGTTGGAGCTGTTTCATCGACAACAGCTTCACCATTTTGTTCTGTCTCATCTGGAGTACTGCCGCTCTCAACTTCTGCAGCAGTTTCAGATTTTTCCAATACCTGATTCGTACACCACACACTCTTAAAACGACAAAGAAAAAACGCAAAGCTATGAGCACAAAGTTTTGAATTGTGAAGGGCTACTAACCTCTCTATTTGAGTGTTCAACAGTTTCTTCACTTTTCTGCAAGTCTTCAACTGGAGTTTGCTCAATGGTATCTGTTGCATGGATTTCATTGGAGAGGTCTCCCTTGGCATCTTCTTCAGAAATCTCTGTCTTCTCTTCGGAAACACCATGATCCAGTTTACTTGAGGAATCCCCCTCAGATTCTGGTAAAAATACTGGAATAACCAACTGTTCTGCCTCTGCCACGTTTGATGTCTCCTTGTTGCTTATCTCTTCAACTTCTTCCACCCCTTTACTCTTTTCATTTGATTCAACTGGCACACCAATGTTTTCACTTTCCCGGCTTACTTCTTCCTTTTCCACTGAAGTTTGAACAGTTGAGTCACAGCTTTCATGATCCTGAGTTGGAGGGGAAGATTCATCAACTGTTTCAGTTGTTTCCTTGTTGATCTCTTCAGCCTCTTCTTTCTCATCATTTGGTGAAGAAACTCCTAGTGTAATTGTTTCCTCAGAAGCTTCAACACTTTCATTCTTCTTGGGAACTTCCTCTTCTTCAACTCCTTCAGTCTTCTGTTCCTCCTTCTCGTCGTCTTCCTGACCTTCCTTTTCTCCTTGAGGAGGAGTCTCTAATGTTACCTTGGGGCTTTGCTCATTCTTCTCTGGATCTTCCACACTAGAATCAACTCTTTTGGTCTCCTCAATGATCTGCAAGATTTCAAAGATATTGGTTTACTTTTAAAGTGCCAGGCTTGATTAAAAAGAAACCAAAGCATCATCTCAGGACTAAGTAACTAACCTCTTTGCTGTCACTATGGTCATCGATCTTGATTTCCTCAGCAGTGTCTTCTTTGGCAGGCTCTTCTATAACATCAACTGCATCATCTCCCTTCATATCTTCCTTAGAGAACTCTTCTTTCTGTATTTCTACCTCTTTTTCTACAATGTGAATAGTCGGGTCTTCACGCCTCGCAGCAGTTTTTTCGAGTGCCTCATCAATACCAAGTGTTGGATTTGTTTCTAGCTCCTTTACAGTATCATCTTCATTACCTGCAGCAGATGTTCAAATCGTTTTAATTTGCACAAAATCAAGATAATTGAAATAACACATTTTAGAAACATGATATGCTGTCAAGTGTTCTGCCAACCATTTCATTCCTGGCTTCCTTAACTAGCTCAAAATATGCTATATTTTCTGTCTGAATGTACTGGAGAATAAGAACCCACTTACTCATGGGTTCCAGCTCAGTTTTCTGTGCATCCGATGTTTCTTCTTTTGTCTGAACTTTCTCTTCTTCTTTGCTTGTCTCAGCATCATGATGAACCTTTGGAGCTTCGCTAGACTCGGGTTGAACAATCTCTTCTTGTTTCTCATCATCTATTTCACCATTCTTTGTGACCAATTCTGCAGATGGCTCACTGCCGATGTGGTTTTCAATTTCTGCAGGTGCTTCATTTTGTTGATAGGTTGCTTCCTCTCGAGACTCTGAATGTAGGGGTTTCTTCTCCACAGTTTCAGATTCCACTTTCTGTGCTTCATCAGGTTTATCATCAGAGATTTTTGTTTCTGCACTTTCAGCTGTCTCATTTGCTTCTGTTGCATTAGCTGTCTGCAATAAGAACAAAATAGAAACTTTTAGTTAGAGCCTGATCCCATCTTTCAACCAGTACTTCTTTCTTACCATAATGAGATCAAATAACAATGTACTCGAATTGAAACTCCAACCTTTTCTTGCAGAACAACTTCATTATCTCTGACATCATCAAAGTCTGCTGTTTTTTCTTCTTCCTGCACACCGATTTCGCCAGTATTTTCCTTCTCTGCCACGTCACTTTCCACTGGAGTAGCAATGTCTTCTTTTCTAGCACTCTGATCATCAATTTTCAAGTCATGAACAGTGTTTTCTTTGACAGGCTCTTCTACTTTGTCATCATCAGATACTGTGGTAATTTCCTTGGAGCTCCCTTCTTTGTTCACAGTATCATCATGATTACCTGCAACAGATGTTCAAAAAGACTTTACTTGGCAGAAAAGCAATCATCCTGGCTAAAACACCATTTACATGCTACACATGCCACAAGTTTTCTATCTCAATGTACTGGAGATCAGTATCCACTTACTCTTGGTTTCCAGTTCAGGTGTCTTTGCATCATATGCTTCTTCTTCTGTTTGAACTACTTCTTTGCTTGCCCCATAATTATGGATCTCCAGACCTTCTTTAGAATCTGGTTCATCAACCTGTTCTTGTTTCTCTGTCTCTGTTTCACTTTCAGCACTCATTGTGACCAATTCTGCAACTGCTGGTTCTCCTAACTCTCTAGACTCACTCTCAATGTGCTTCTCAGTTTCTACAGCTGCTTCATTCTGTTCATTTGCTTCTTCGTGAGACTCTGAGTGCAAGGTTTTCTCCACCATAGTTTCAGCTTCCGCTGCCATTGCTTCATCAGGTTTATCATTGGAGATTCTAGCTTCTTCTGCACATTCAGCTATCTCATTTGCTTCTGTTGCAATAGAATTCTGCATCAAGATCATAATAGAAACTTTTTGGTTAGACTCTGCTTCCATTTTTAACCACTTCTATTTTGTTACCTTAACTAGATCAGAATAAATATACGAAACTGAAACTCAAAGGTCAAACCTTTTCCTGCACTAAAACTCCATCCTTGACATCTTCAGGATCTGCTGGCTTCTCTTCATCCTGCAGACCAGTCTCCAAAACTACATTTCCTTTTTCAGCCACTTCATTTTCCACTGATGAAGCCATTTCGCTTTTGTTGGCCTCTTCATTTTCAGGCTCTAAATCCTTACCTTCAACTCCAGAGCTAAAATCATTGTCCTGACTTCCATTTTCCAAACATGTTTCTGAAGCTGCAGCTTCATTCTGCACTAAACGTATCTCAGGTGTGCTGATCTGTTCGGCGGCTTCGATGCCAGGCGACACCCGATCTTCCACCACAGCATCTAGACCAGCTTCTTCGATGCTTTCATGCTGAACCTGACAGCTTTTCGCTGCGATTGGCTCGTCAGCTTGACTAGTATTTACCTGTTCTTTTTCACAAGGATCCTGACCAGAAACCTTGATGCCACTTGAGGATGATTCCAAAAAACTCTCATCCTCAGGCACCTCTGAGATGCTGCTGTTGTTCCCGTCTGGTAAGTTATGCTGAAGTTTTAGCATTTCGTCCGATTTCGCCAAGCTAACCACAGCAGCTTCTACTTCTGGTGTCAGGTAACTCTTCACCCCTTCTACTTCCTGCCAGCAGCACAAAAATAATATAATAAAATGCAGAAGTCAGCTCCCTTTCTAGAAGATCTTTAGCTTCCCATAGCTAAATTAAGGTTGACATGTAATTTACAAAAGATCAGATCCATCTAAGAGTACTACATATACTAAACAATCAAAATCACTGGAAAATCTGGAAAAGAAAGCAAGACTCTCACTCAATTCACATAATTCTCATGCTGTATTTACTTCCACAAGCATGATCATGACAGTTACATGTACTGCATAACAAGTAAAACCCCAAAGAGGAAAGAGCTAGCAGTACTTTAGAACAGACATTTCTGCCAGAAAGCACTCTCAAGTTTTGATCTTTAGACATGGGTATTCTTCATACACATAGATAACCAGGCATATCAAAATTCAAGTGAAAGGGATGGTAAAAATGAGTTGCCAAAGTTCTGATCTTTATTGACATACCTGTGTTATGGACACAGGTTCTGTGATCTTCTCAACTTCACTACTTGCCATTTTTCTCTAAACTAAATTTTTCCTTCTTGATCAGATGCTGACACTTTTGATCTCTGGCAGGTGTTCTTGAACATGAAGGAGAGAGGGAGGGAGAGAGAGGGCTGGAGACCTATGAACCTGCAGAAAAATGGAAAGTGTGGGAAGAGGGACGGTTTGGTTTAGTTGGCTGCACTAATGGCTCTATATTAAAAAGTGAGAGGAGGGCAAGAGGGTGACAAAATTGCCACTTGGGATATCATGCTTGTTAATGCATTTGTGAGTTGGCAAGATATGGAAATTGGTCCCTACTCATTGACCCCCTCACATGCCCTCACAGTTCCCTTCCTTTTCCTTCTTGCCTTAGTGTATTCATCTTTGTGTGTGGCAAATCACAAACAACATAACCTTTTAGCAAGAGATCAATAATCATGAGGGATGATAAAGCTAGCTTCTTTCTTATACATGGGTCTCTCATAAAGAAGAGTAATTTTGTAATCACCATTTAGTCAGTTCATTTAATACTCAGTTAGTTTATCAACCAAATATTATTATGGCTTATTGAGTTGTGTATTCGTCGATGATAAGAGTTTTCTAGAGATAATTTTATGCAATAGGTACATGTTCTCGAAAAGCAAAACAAAGATACATGAGGTCGAGTTTATTTGACTATATCCCTTATCATCTAGAGGATAATTTATCAATTTTGTAAGTTGACTCTTTCGCTAAATTTTTGTACGAAAAATTTGCTTTAACACTCACACCTCTCACATCTTGGTCAACCAAAGATCAATATAGCTTATACCATACTCTTGTTACTATTATATCATTCATCTTATTTAGTAAGAACTTGGAATGTAGCCTTTCACTACTAAGCATTGATTAATGGTTAATAGTGAAAAAGAAGTAGCCCATAATTACTCTTATGGCATGGTTATGCTGCTTTGGCAGACAGAAAGGATGTCCCAAGAACTGTAGGGGTAAGGAAAGTTGTCGTGTGGGATTCTTTATCCTTCCTTTTTACTTTTTCTCTTACAAGTCATTTTATTAATGGGTCTATAGATTTTGATGCCTTTATATAGGGAGAGTTTTGATTTTTCAAGGTATATTGATGGCTTTCTCCCAATTTAGAAGAAGCCATTGCCTTGTACCTTTCAAAACCTAAGTGTTTGGTATTCCTCATCAATGAGAATATGAGATTATAATTGGGGATGAGTGATTTAGTATGGTGGCAAGATTCTACTAGTAAGTAGGATCAGTGCTAGTAAGTTTCGTTACCACTACGTCAATTTACTAAAGGTTATATCAAAAATTTTTGTAATTTTAGAAAAAATTATGAATCTAGTATGCTCAACTTTCATTTACTACAGAAGGAGAATTAAGGCAAAAACTTATGGGGCAAATACGGTATAATTACATGTATTGTGAGTTTTGTCTTGTCATTAAATCAAAAAGCATAGAGTAATGTCTCATCATCCTTGTATTTTGAAGGTTTGATTAGGAAAATAAATTTATATGATACGTAACAAAATATGATGAAACTAAAGATTGGATTCATTACATAGATAAGTGGGGGAAAATTAGCTTTATCACTAGATGGGGATGGATTAGGTGGAGGAAACATTCCAAATTGAGGATTGATTAGCCCAGGAAAATTAGCCTTAAAGCAATGAATCCCCATAAGAAAAAATTTATATTCCCTGGAATAAAAATTGGTCATAATTAGTGGTTGAACTTGAAGCCATTCATATAATAACACTATGGATTTCCCCAAATGCTGACAAAACTTGTGATAATGATATATATACCAGATTAGCACGCAGTTTATCAGAAGAATCTTCTTTGCATGACATAAACCAACAGGAACATTAGTTGGCTGGCTGGCTGGCCACCGTGGGTTAGGTCACGCAATTAGGTATTCTTAAGCTAGATTAATGTCCTAAGTATGGTAATTTAATTAAATGAGTCATTATAATGCTTAATTGGCAATATTTTTGTGTATTGTTTTGGTTAGTAAATGTTATAAAATTTATAGTTTGAATATTTTTCAACAATTTTGTTCATTAGGACCAATAGTTATAGGTGAAGGGTTTCAAAAATCATTCTCGTATATTTTTCACTAACTACGAGGCTCTAAACGAAAGTTCTAAATGGAAGAACTACCAATACTTTTTTTTATTGATACTCTACAAGTTTTACGCATCTGCTATTAATCAGTTTATACTCTTTTATTTGCTCCATATTAATGATATTATAATATCTCCTTTATTATACTTTCTCCATCATTTTACATTTGCACCATATATACCAATTATATCACATTGTATCGTCATTGACACAAAATGGAATAAATACTCAAAACAAAAATCAATAAACGAATTCAAGGAACTTGAACACAAACCCTCTAACAAAACCATGATAAAGAGACTTTACTAAAATTCATAATATCAATCCACTACACAACTCAACACAAGTGTTTGACCCGAAATAAAATTTCTTCGTTAAACTTATAATTTATACAAACTTTGTTTTAATGAAATGTTTTACATCAAGGTATTGTCAACCCCGATTAAAAAACGGTTCACCAAAGATTAATTTATTTAAAATAACTTTGTACAATATTGAATCCGATGATCACATCCCAACAGACTTTGAATGAAGGCATGACTTCTCCCGCTGAAGGAAAGCTATCCAAAGCTAGCTGACGTGGACGGTCGGTCCGCTTGGGTACAGCAAACTGATGATGTGGACGGTGGAAAGAGGACCCACCACCTGCTGATGTAATCACCCAATGACTGGTGGTGGTCCTTAACAAATGAAAATTCTTCTTATCACCAGCCGCCCAACTATGAAAAAGTTTAGGGGGAGACAGAAAATTGAAAGTTCAGAAAAGAAGGCTCAAAATAATAAAAGCTTTCTCCACTCTTTGCCAAACTGCAAATAGGAAAGTGACCAGCTCTCCAGATCCAATCCTTGATAATCCACATAATGTCAAATTGTCAACTCGACATCTCTTGATCAAATCACACTTTGATATCACGTTGATAATTAATTGGTTTCGGAAATTTGAGTTGTTGGGAAATGATCAAGTATATTGATCTTATATTGCTTTCTTACAGTAATGTATATGTATCGTGTCATTTATATGATTTAAGTTTATCCGTTGAAATCTTTATCTATATGTTCGTTACTACGTCGACACATGCATGACTAGTATGAATTTAAGTTAATGACTCATATGTATCGTCTCTAAAAATAGGCTTCTCCCTCCTTGATACATATGGATTATGTTTGCTAACTGGATTTGCATGCATGATTCAGTACATGTAAATTTCCTCACCCAATATGATTTTTCTAGAAACAGACGTATTTAATCCGGCATACTCATTTCTTTATTGTCGGAAGATCAAACGCACAAGCTAGATCGACTTGAAGAGCTCAAAAGCTACTCGATCCCCTGAAAACTCCCGTCGCTAATCATCGAGACTCGAGAATATCCTAAACTAGCTCGGGGTTGTCATGAATTGTATTGTTGAAACGTTATCCAAAATAACAAGTTGACAAGGGGCGACTTAATTAGTTAGTAAGGCTCGTATAGGTGCTGACAAAATATACTTTTTGGTTCGATTTGTACAATCTAACTACTTATTGGGGACAAAATCTACATTTTGGATCAATTTACAAAATCTAACTAGTTATCTTATTATCACATAAGATAATTCCCTAGTTAGGCTCTTATTGGGCTTGACATGCTCTAATTTTGTTCAATTTGCACAATCTAGCTAGTTATAAGTATGAAGATAACTCATTGAAGAACTTTAACAAAACTGTACATAAAGTCAAACATCCATTCGTATGAATTTTCTCTATATGCATTGGAATCAAAAGAAACCTAGATAGACATTTAACATTTGCCCAAATAATGTAACATCTCCCCTATGTTTGAATTAGAGAAATGACCTGTGTTTTTTTTCTCCCAATTATTTTGGTGTGGGTTTTGAGGGTTACTATTTGCCGCCCGGGCAATTACTATTTGCCGCCCGTAAAAAACACTAAAATGACAATTTTGCCCTCCAAATATTTCTTTATATTCTATTCGCTGAAATGGTTTTTTAAACAACTTACACACTACCCGAGTCCCGACCACCAACCCCCCACAAACACCACAGCCACCGGACGGCAGCCAAACTCGCCGGCCACCGGACCAATCTCGTCAGGATAATTCGCCGGGCACTGGACGGCAGCCGTACCCCGTCGTCGGACCAGCGAAGCAGGTAAACCTCTTGCTGATCCTGAATTTTTTGTTCGGTCCGCTCGCCGGCGTCGGACCCCGTCCGCTAGCCGGAGGCGGACCCCGTCCGCTCGCCGTGGTCGGACCCCGTCCGCTCGCCGTCGTCGGACCGCGTCCGCTCGCCGTCGTCGGACCGCGTCCGCTCGCCGTTGTCTGACGGGGTCCGCCGACGGCGAGCGGACGCGGTCCGACGACGGCGAGCGGACGGGGTCCGCCGCCGGCTAGCGGACGGGGTCAATTGAAGAGTTAATTAAATTAAATTAAAATACAGTGTTGTATTTTTTTCTATTTTATTTCTAGAGCTAATAATTTATAATTTATTGCTTTTATTTCTATTTTACATAGTTAAAATTCCTTTGTAGTTTGAATTAAGCGAATCGTATTTTGTTGTAGCGCTAATTAGTTTCTTAGTGTCAAATTATCGTTATTTTGTAGAGTTAATTAAATTAAATTATTGCATGTAGTTTAATTTTGTAGAGTCAATTGAAGCACAATTAGTTTAATTAAGCGATTGTGTTTTGTTGTAGCGCTAATTAGTTTATTGTGTTTAGGTATAATTCGTAGAGCTAAAGATGTTTAATAATTTATATTAAGATAATTTTCTTATCGTCAAATTATCATTATTTTTTAGAGTTAATTAAATTATTGCATTTAGTTTAATTTTGTAGAGTCAATTAAAGCACAATTAGTTTAATTAAGTGATTGTGTTTTGTTGTAGCGCAAATTAGTTTTATTGTGTTTAGATTTAAATCGTAGAGCTAATTTGGTTTAATAATTTATATTTAAATTATCTGTATTTTTTAGACTTAATTAAATTATTGCATTTAGTTTAATTTTGTAGAATCATATAATTTGTACATTTCTAACGAGAGTCAAAATCATAATTGCAGGGGGACATGGCTGACAATGTTGAACTAATTGGTGATTA